ACAAGGGAGAGCGCGCCCCAGACCCGAAACGACGACACATCACCAGGCTGTCCCGTCCAACGAAGTGTGGGCGAGGTCTCTGGAGCAGAGACACGGGGCCAGAGGTTGAGCTGATGCGCGGCGTATCGGACCGCAAACGGCCACAGGAAATGGGGAGCAGCCGCATGGATCATGGAGGTACGAGCAACCTCCATGATCAGGCCAATGCGACGCTCAGCGATCCCATTTTGCTGCGGAGAGGCCGGAAGCGTGAACAACTGGGCGATGCCCTCATCCTGGCAGAACGTCTCAAGGACGCCAGAAGAGAACTCACCACCCCTGTCAGAGTGCAGACGCAGGACTGGGAAGTCCTGATGAAAGCGCTCGTGTAGCTGGAGACGAGTAGCACGGATCCAAGGGATCAAAACACTGCTGACGTCCGCCTTGCGACGCAAGGGGAAGACTGTGGTGTAGCGTGTGTAGTCGTCAACAACCAGCAGGAAGTAGCGCTCCTGGTCCGTCCCACCGACGGGGGCCGGGCCCCACACGTCCAGGTGGAGAGTCTGCAGAGGAGCAGTGTTCGGAGGAAACTCGGAGGAGTGAGGAGCGGCGCGCTGCCGCCCCTCGACGCAAGGAAGACACGGCGGCGCAAGTGAGCGCGGGAGGGGGGGCAGGGTCTCAGGGAGGCCAGAGACCAGGAGCCGGGAGTGCATGCCGCACAGACGCTGCAGGGAGGGGTGACCAAGACGGTGGTGCCAGCGCTGAGTCTCATGCGTGAGTACTCTGCACGAGCAAGACGCAGCTAACTGCCCTGACGCAGACGCTCGACTCGACGCAGCTACCTTACCTGACTCAGCCACCTGTGCAGACGCAGTGGTCAGTGTGTACAGACTAGACCCAGGCTGACGAGTGAACGTAGCCAGGTGACGGCCAGTCCGGGAGCACGTACAGATCGCCACACGCTGCCCTCCAGGAATAAAGGTATCAACCCAGACATCCTGAATGGCAGCGTTGCTCACCAAGTTCGTCGAGAACGTGGGGAGGTGGAGACCTGACAAAGAACCAAAGGGGACTGCTGGACAAGGGAGGACCGTGGAGGCTCTCGCAACCACTGGGCCCCCAGAGGGGTCAGCCAGTGAGACTGGGACAGGTGCTGTGAGTGGTGTGACTGTGGTGCAATCACGGAAGAAGCAACGTGACGCGCCTGAGTCAAGCGTGAAAGTGTGCAAGACCTCAGCTGAGGCAGGACCTGTGGTAGTAGACGCACTAGCACCTAGAGCGTCGGTAGACTCACGGGCACCTAGAGCTGCAGCAGACTCACTAGCACCTGGAGCGGCAGCAGACTCACTAACACCAAGAGCAGCAGTCCTAACAAAACGATAACCTCCACCACCAGGACGACCTCGCTGAATAACCCACTCACGAAGCTGCTGAGGGGTGGGGTTGTCTGGGAGAAGCAGTGCCCGCTGCTGTCCACCCCTGGCCGCAGCAACTGCCGCGGAAGTGGCCATGACAGACAGTGACGGTCAGGAGTAGGTCCAGCACCTCCAGCTCCTACAGCGCCAGCAGCACCTCTTGCACTCCCAGCAGCACCTCCTCCACTCCCAGTAGCACGAGTAGGAGCAGCAGCAGTAGTAACAGCAGCAGGGCGGCGCGCGGCCAGAGCAGGGCGGCGCGCGGCCACAGCAGGGCAGTAGTAGGCAGAAGCACCAAGGGTCCTCTTTTTTTTTTTTTTTTTAATAAACAATTTAATTATATTTAGGGTATAGCAGGGCGCTGGCGCAGGGCAGGGCGCTGGCGCAGGGCAGGGCGCGGGCGCAGGGCAGGGCGCTGGCGCAGGGCAGGGCGTCAGCGCGCGCAGGGCAGGGCGCTGGCGCAGGTTGCAGGGGCAGGACGCGCGGGCTGCAGGGGCGCCGCGCTGGCTGCAAAGGCAGCTCGTACGGGCTGCAGGGGCCGCGCGGACGGGCTGCAGAGGCGGCGCGCGGGCTCCAGGGGCGACGCGCGGGCTGCAGGGTCCGCGAGGACGGGCTGCAGAGGCGGCGCGCGGGCTCCAGGGGCGACGCGCGGGCTGCAGGGTCCGCGAGGACGGGCTGCAGAGGCGGCGCGCGGGCTCCAGGGGCGACGCGCGGGCTGCAGGGTCCGCGAGGACGGGCTGCAGAGGCGGCGCGCGGGCTCCAGGGGCGACGCGCGGGCTGCAGGGTCCGCGAGGACGGGCTGCAGAGGCGGCGCGCGGGCTCCAGGGGCGACGCGCGGGCTGCAGGGTCCGCGAGGACGGGCTGCAGAGGCGGCGCGCGGGCTCCAGGGGCGACGCGCGGGCTGCAGGGTCCGCGAGGACGGGCTGCACAGGCGGCGCGCGGGCTCCAGGGGCGACGCGCGGGCTGGCTGCAGAGGCGACGCGCGGCTGCAGGGGCAGCGTGAACGGGCTGCAGGGGCAGCGTACGGGCTGGAGGAGCAGCGCGCGGGCCACAGGGGCAGGCGCGGCTGCAGGGGCAGCACGGTAGCAGGGGCGAGCACGGCTGCAAGGGGCAGCACGGTCGTAGGGGCGAGCACGGCTGCAGGGGCAGCGCGGTCGCAGGGGCAGCGCACGGGCTGCAAGGGTCGCGACAGTGAGAGCTAGGGGCGCCAGCGCGCTGGCTACTGTGTAGGGCGTGGCGCTACCACTAGGCGGAACGGTGGGCCCATGTAGGAACGGTTCCTACTCTGATAACATGTCAAGAATACAACTAGGAATGATGGATTGGACTAGGCAAGAGGTGAGTACAAGTAGGGGAAACCTAACCCTAAAGTGTTGTGCTCACTAAGGAGTGACCCTACTGTAGCCTAGAGATACATTTGTAATCTGACACTAAACATATTCACTTTTTTCGTGTAAGTGTCAGAAAAAAATCCACTTTGTAAAGTACGGGTTTGAATCAGAACACACCCTTATAGTAAGGGTCATAAGGGTGATTCACCCTTATATCAAGAGGCCTGTGTATGGCATATGTATAGATCATCAGGGACACCCTCATTCTCGATAGACTGGCATATGTTATACTGACCGAGACGCTTAGTGTGACCGCACCGGACCCAAGAAGGTCCTATCACATGCGTTATAGTGACAATTTGACCCAGGGCGTTTAGTCAAGGTTTTTTACGTTCTGGAACGGTACTGTTGTTTTCAAAGCGGTTGGGATGGTTATTCAACGTTAATGATTTTTTACGGCCCAAGGCGTGTTTCAAACCCTCGTGCGACTTTGCCCGCAACCGAGTTATCTCACCAGCCCGCTACGTCCAAACACTGTAGCCAGTGCTTCCGCCGGTGAGATAGGTGAGAAAGAGGGTGTACACGCCACAGAGGCTGTTAGTGAGATCACTGGAACCCTGAATCGTAGGTGAGTCCTTGAAACAATAAGGTCGTATCCCTGGCTAGTGTCAAGAGCGGTTAGTGTCATGACACTATCTCGGAAAACGCATGGAGGACTAGTCCTCCTGGTGTCAGCTAAACCGACCAATCTGATCACGGGAAATTGCCCAATGTGCCCAACATTGACACCAGGCTGGAGCCGCGTGCGGGCGCGGCTCCACCTGGTGTAAAGCGAAAATCCCGCTTGACACCAAGAGTATCTTGACACTAGCCAGGGATACGACCTAATAGTGGCAAAACCCCCTTTTGCTTGCTAACCTCATCGCCGAATAGTTACAGGTTCGCGAAAGTGTTGACTTCTGGGAACCACGTGTCATGAAATTCCAGGCTACCAACTTCGGAGGAATACAGGTGGTGGGAAATCGACCGTGATGAGGTGGACTGGACGGATGAGGCGACAGGTTCACCCATCACCTCACAAACCACATCTCCAATTTCGACCCGAAAATCCGAAGGCAACCATTCCACTTGAATGCCACGCTGTACAGTTCCGCTGATTCCATTCGATAGGATACTGCAGTGATTATCATACGGAGCAGGCACACTTGAAATGATTTCGGGTTGAAGCTTTTCGTCGTGCCTGTTGATCTGCTTCTGTTTTCTGTGGGTCATTCACCCTGGAACTTCGTCCCAACAATCACGCAACGCAACCAAGTTTGACTTCTACTGTACTGTGGGAAGGAAATAATAAGTGTACGATATTTCTGCCCAGCTTCGCAAATGAGAGAATTGACCAGAGTCGCCTTGAAGTGGGTCGAGACGAGACTGGGAAGAATTCCTTTCTCCCTCGCAGTTCCCTCCGTCTTTTCCGTATGGCTACTCCGTCCGTTTCCCTTGAATGGTGTGTGTGTGTGTGTGTGGACCGTAGTGAAAATCAAACATCTAGGCGAACATACGCGCGAGTCGCCTTGATGCTGCTTGTTAGTCCCTCCTAGCCGTGCCGTTGGTTCCGCTTCTGCTCCGTCGCTTCTCAGCACGACTTTCCTCACGCGTTTTGGAATCATTAGTTTTAGGGCACTGTACGCAAGCATACGCAAGTGATCCATTTCTTAGCTGGATCGCTGATTTATTCACAAAGAAGGAATCCAGACTGCCAGGACGTGCGGCTGCACGGAGGGATACACGTATTTCGTCGTGGTGGGTCGACTGTGCTAGTCACTAGCAAGCAGCATTAGTACGTGTAAGCAGCATTCTTTCTTCTGTAACGCCCCTAATCGCTGAATCTTCGAATCAAATACGTGTCGTGTAGCCGTTCAGTCTCTTATCGCTACCGACCAACGGTGTTCAGCTGAATGGTGAACTTTTATTTTAATCTCTAGGCACAAGCGTACCTCGAATCTCCATCTTGCTCTAGTTCGCCCCGAAGCGACGTTTGCAAAAGACCAGGAGTTGTTATCTCTACTTATTTTGGGCCTTCAAATCAGCAGACACTACCCGCTCGGTGCGCAGACACTAGCCGCAGCATAACTCGGTTATTATTAGGCTACGTCCACGTTAGTATCTTAAAGGCGCTTCGAGTCAGTGCATTGGCTAAAAAAGCATCAGCCTCCTAACGCGTCGGCCTTTAAACGCCGCATCGGCCTCCGAACGCCACGTCAGCCTCGCCGCAGGAACGATGTTCAACCGCGGGAGGAAGATCGTGACTAAGGTAGTGGTGAGCGCGGACGCGCAGCTGCAGCAGCGGTTCGAGGAGAAGGAGCGGGAGAAGCGGAGGGAGAAGGAGAAGGAGAAGGAGCGAGAGAAGCCGGGCCCCCGGCCGTCGGAGTGGGACTATTTGACGACCGTCGTGCAGCAGAACCGCGTCGCGCAGCGAAAGGTGTGCTGCCGTAGGAAAGCGCGAAAGGTGGGTAGCGAGTACTGGAGAGGAAATGTAAAGATAGAGCAAGGGCGAAACGGACGCATTGACCCCTGGGAAAGAGGGGCCGGCCGTCGGAGTGGGATTATTTGACGACCGTCGTGCAGCAGAATCGCGTCGCGCAGCGGAAGGTGCGTTGCGAGTAAAGGTGAAGTGTAGGAATAGAGCAAGGGCATTGACTCCTGGGAAAGGAGGGACGGCCGTCGGAGTGGAACTATTTGACGACCGTCGTGCAGCAGAACCGCGTCGCGCAGCGGAAGGTGCGTTGTTAGTAAGGGGTACCGACTCGGAGCAAGGCGAAGGGATACAGCGTGATTATGGACGCTAGGACCCTGCGGAATGGGAACGACTGACGGAATGCAAACGGCTGAGGGACTGGGAACGGCTGACGGAATGGGAACGGCTGACGAAATGGGAACGGCTAACTGAATGGGAACGGCTGACTGAATGGCGGCGGAAGCTTCCTGAGGCGCGCGACACGGCGGTGTGTACAGCGAGCGCGCAATGTGCGGCGAGCGCGCTTTGTGCACTGACGCGCGTTGCGGGTTATATCCCTCCGTGATCCTCCGCCTTCCCTCCCCGTTGGCCCGCTGCCCAAACCAGCCCTGTCAACCCTCCGCCCCCTCCTCCACTCCACCCCCTTTCTCCCCCCTGGTCCCGCCCTCTCTCTCCCTTCCTCCCTCTCCCTTCTTCCCCCTTCCCGCTCGTCCCTCCCCCACATATCCCCCCACTTACCCTGTTCCCCCTCCCCCTTCCCGCTCCCCTTTTCTGCGCCCAACCCCTTCAGCTCCAGGCGATTGGAGGGACATTCGGGCAACCGGGGGAAGCAAGCGGGGAGGCGCAACCCCTCCCCGCTCCGCACACAGAATCCTCTCCCGCAGCAGCAGTCGCGCCAGCTGCGCCTGGGGGGAAGGCGGAAGAAGATTTATCCAACAGTGGAGATGTGCAGTCGTACACGCAGCACGCTCAACGGCCAGGATTCGTCCAATCGCACGGCTCTCTGCTGTTCCTGGAGGAGAGGAGCTACAAGTTCTTGGGGGTAGCGGATAATATCTTTGACTTTTTTGACCAGCCAGACGGGGGGAATGGGGAGAGGAAGGCGGGAGAGGAGAGGGAAGAGGAGCCGGAGGAGGGGACTGGGGAGGGAGGGAGGGAAGAGGCGGAAGGAGGAGGGGGGAAGGGAGGGGCCGTGAATAGTCTGCTGGGCCAATCATGTAGCTGCTTGATGACCGAGCAGGTGAGACTGTGCAATGAACTTTAGATTCCATGCTGAAGCGGAGGTTGGGATGGGGGTTGCGGGAAGGGAGCGAGCGGTGGGGAGGAGGAGCCTGGTGGGCCAAATGTGCAGCTGCCTGGCAAGTGAACACGCGAGCGAGACTGTGTGCAGTGCAGCAACGCATGCTCCCTGCAAAAAGTGGGGGGAAGGGGGTGGGGGAAAGGGGGAGGGAAGGGAGCGGTGGTGAGGAGGAGCCTGGTGGGCCAACTGTGCAGCTGCCTGGTAAGTGAACACGCGAGCGAGACTGTGTGCAGCAACCGTGTAACTGTCTGGTGGCAGCGTGTGAGAGCTCGGATCCGCAGCTGTCGAACCCTTCTCTCCATTTTCCATTCCCCCTACTCAACCCCTCCCAACCCCTCTCCACCCCTCACCACCCCTTCCCACCTTCTCTCAACAGACGTTTGCGTGCCTGGTGGCAGCGTGTGAGAGTTCAGATCCGCAGCTGTCGAACCCCATTCTGATCAAGACAGTGAAACGAGGTGAGAGGGAGGGAGGTGAGGGGAGGGCGAGGGAGGGAAGAGAGAGGGAGGGAGGCAAAATGGGCAGTAAGCTCGGATCCGCAGCTGTCGAACCCCATACTGATAAAGACCGTCAGGAGAGGTGAGATGGAGCGAGGTGAGAGGTGGTGGAGGGAGGCAGGTGAGGAAAAGGTGGGAGTGAAAGAGTTGAGCTCGGACCCTCAGTTGTCGAACCCCATTCTGATCAAGACTGTCCGACAAGGTGAGATGGAGCGAGGTGAGAGAGATGGGGAAGGGTGTTGAGTGAGAGGAAGGGAGGAAACGAGGAGGGAGAGATGTTTTGACGAACTGGGGGCGGGCTCAGATGTTTTGACGAACTGCGGAGAGATGTTTTGACGAACTGCGGAGACAGATCCGCAGCTGTCGAACCCCATCCTGGTCAAAACAGTCCGACGAGGTGAGATGGAAGAGAGATGAGAAGGAGTAAGGTGGGAGGGAGGTGAGCGAGTGCGTGAGTGAGGACGGGAGGGAAGCGTGACGGCATGTGAGTGCTCGGATCTACAGGCAGACAACTACAGTGCTCTTTCCTCCTCGCCTCCCCCCCTTCTATCCTCTGCTTTCCCCACACCCCCCCCACCCCAGCCCGCCCCCTGTACGCCATAGTGCATCGATCAGACGAGGGCCTGGTGGTTGACATACAGCCGTGCGTGGGGGGGGAGACGTGGGCTGTCTTATGACAGGCGCTAGAGTGTCCTCTCCCCTTTATGTACTCCTCCTCCCCGTTATGTTCCCTCCCCCCCCCTCCCTTAGCCCGCCCCCTGTACGCCATAGTGCATCGATCAGACGAGGGCCTGGTTGTTGACATACAGTGAAGCTGTCCTCTCACTTCTCCTATCTCCCCTCTCCTCCCTCCCCCAGCCCGCCCCCTGTACGCCATAGTGCATCGATCAGACGAGGGCCTGGTGGTTGACGTAGAGCCGTGCGTGGGGGGGGAGGCGTGGAGGAGAGGGCTCTTATGACTGGCGCTAGAGTGTCTTTTCCCCGTTATGTTCCCCTTCTCTCCCCTTTCCCCCCAACAACAGCCCGCCCCCTGTACGCCATAGTGCATCGCTCAGACGAGGGCCTGGTGGTTGACTTGACATACATAGCAGAGCCAGGCCATTCATATCAAGACGTCTCAAGTTCCCTCCCTCTTCCCCGCCCTCCCCTCTTCCCCCCCCATCAGCCCGCCCCCTGTACGCCATAGTGCATCGCTCAGACGAGGGCCGGGTGGTTGACACAGAGCGGGGCCGTTCCTATCAAGACGTCTCAAGTCCTCCCCCTCACTCCCCCCGCCCCCTCCTCCACCCCCCCTCCCAGCCCGCCCCCTGTACGCCATAGTGCATCGCACTGACGAGGGCCTCGTGGTTGACGTAGAGCCGTGTGTCTCAAGCCCTCTCTCTCCCCCACCCCCCCTTCACAAAACCCCTCGTTCCCCCACACCAATAACAGCCCGCCCTCTGTACGCCATAGTGCATCGCACAGACGAGGGGCTGGTGGTTGACGTAGAGCCGTGCGTGGGAGGGGAGGAGTGGGCGCAGAGGTGGAAGAAGAAGGGAGGAAAGGCGGCGGCGCGTGCGAGTGAGGCACGAGGGAAAGTTGAAGGGGGGAGTGTGGGAGAACCAGGAGGAAAGGCACGTAGCGGCATTGTGGATGCGTCTGGAAGTGGTGGGGAGGCGAGGGATGGGGAAGCGAAGGATGGAGCGGAATCGTGGAGGTGTTTGAATGGGTTTGTAAAAGGTGAAGGAGATGAGAGTCGTCAGAACCAAGGGGAGAAGGGGGAGAAACGGGAGGGGGAGGAGAAGAAAGGGGAAGAGGAGGAGAAAGGGGAGGAGGAGAAGAAAGGGGAGGAAGAGGAGGACGAGGAAGAGGAGGACGAGGAAGAGGAGGAGGAGGAGGAGGAGGAGGTGGATATGTCGATGTTGGATTGGTCTGCTCTGGACAAGCACGAGAGGACGAGTGCGAGCATTGCCAAGCTGCAAGACATCGATGATGACATGCCCAAGCTGTGCGATACCCTCGTGCAGGTATGTGCAAGGAGGAAGGGGACGATGACATGCCCAAGCTCTGTGACACGCTCGTGCAGGTTAGTCCGATCCGATCACTTGAGAGTGCTCCTCCCCAAGAGTGCACAAGAGGCCTCTCTCGTGTTCTCTCCTTCATTCCACTCCCTCCAATCTGCGAGCATCGCAAAGCTGCAAGACATTGACAACGACATGCCGAGGCTGTGCGACGCGCTCGTGCAGGTGAGTGGATGTGGGATCACTTGAGAACCTGTGTGTGTGGTTGTGAGAATTCTCACAAGCTCTACCTCCCGCCCTCCCCCACTTCCCCTCTCCCCCCTTCCCTTTCACCCCTCTCTTCCTCCCCCTCCCGCTCCCCCTATCTTAGGGGTTGCGAGAGCTGGCAGGGTATGATCGAGTGCTGCTGTAAGCACTCTCAAATCCCCCCGCCCACTTCTCTCCCACACCCTCTTCTTGTCCCTCCTGGCCACTCCTTACCCCCTACCTCCCCCCCTCCCCTCCTCCCTATCTCAGGAGCTGCGGGAGCTGGCAGGGTATGACCTAGTGCTGCTGTATCGCTTTCACAGGAACAATTCCTGTGCGTGAGTGTGTGGTTGTGACGATTCTCATAAGCTGCCCCTCCCCACCTCCCCTCCCCTCTCTCCCCCTCTTCCCGCCCTTCCCTTGTCTCAGGAGCTGCGGGAGCTGGCAGGGTATGACCGGGTGCTGCTGTATCGATTTGATGAGGACTTGGGTGCGTGTCTGTGTTGATTCTCATAAGCTTCCCCTCCCTCCCCCCCCTAACTCTTCCCCTCGCTCTTCCCATCCCCCTATCTCAGCAGCTGCGAGAGCTGGCAGGGTATGACCGAGTGCTGTTGTATCGTATACTCAAATCCCCCTGTACTCCCCATCTCTCCCTTTTTTCTGACCCACTTCTTCCCCCTTCTTGCCTGCCCTGAGCTCAGGAGCTGCGGGAGCTGGCAGGGTATGACCGAGTGCTGCTGTACCGATTTCATGAGAACCTGTGTGTGTGGTTGCGCAGATTCTCATAAGCTTCCCCTCCCTCTTCCCTCCCCCTCTCCCCCTCTCCCCCCTTCCCCTCCCCCTATCTCAGGAGCTGCGTGAGCTCGCAGGGAAAGAGTGCTGCTGTACTGATTCCACGAGGAGTGGGGGAGAGGGAACTGAGTTAGGGAGCTGGCAGGGTGCAATCTGTGTTCCTCGAGCACCCCACCATTCCCCCCCTCCCCCTACACCTCCCCCTCCCTCTCCCCATCCCCCGCCTCCCCCCTTCTCCCCCTATCTCAGGAGCTGCGAGAGCTGGCAGGGTATGACCGACCGGGTGCTGCTGTATCCATTTCATTCCACAAAGGACTTGTGTGTGTGTGGTTGTTGTGACCATTCTCATACGCTCTCCCTTTACTCACCACCCCCCCCCCCCTCCCCCTCTCCCCCTCCTCCTCCCCTATCGCAGGAACTGCGGGAGCTGGCAGGATACGACCGAGTGCTGTTATACCGATTCCACGAGGACTTGCACGGGGAGGTGCGTGGGTGGAGTTTGTGTGTGTGAGTATGCAAATGTGCGTGGATGAGAAGTGGGAAAGTGGGAATGAGGGTACCAACGGGTGCTGCTGTACCGATTCCATGAAGACTTGCATAGGGAGGTGCGTGGGTGGGGGAGCTTGTGTGTGAGGGTGCTCTCGAGTGGTGCTGTATTGATTCCTTGACGACTTGCATGGGGAGGTGCGTGGGTGGAGTTTGTGTGAGTGTATGTGGGAAGGAAGGGAGGAGGAGGGAGGGTCTAGCTGTGAAGGGACGGGGCGAGCGAGCTAGCAGGATATGACTGGGTGGGGCAGGGTTTAGGGTGGTGGGTGGCAGGGGCCAAGTTATGTTTCGGGTGTTTCATTCCCCTTTTGTCTTCTTCGTCCCCTTCCCCTGTCTCTCTTGTCCCTCTCTTACCCTTCTCTTCCCCCCTTCTCCTTTCGCTTTCCTACCCTTCCTTTCCTTCCCCTTGCCCCTTCCCTCCTCCATTGCTCCCAGGTGGTTGCAGTTGCAGAGGTCAAGTCAGAGGCCTGGCGTTTTGATTTCTGTTCCTTCCCACCCCTCTTCCCCCTCCTCTTCTCTTCCGCTTTCACGCTCAACGTTGCTCCGCAGGTGGTAGCAGAGGCCAAGTCAGACGCTCAGGCGACTTGCCTCTTCCTTCTCCTGTGCTTCCCCTTAGCCCTCTCCCCTCCACCCTTTCCCCAACACCCACCCCCCTTCCCCGCCTGTCCTCCCTCTTTCTCCCCAGGTGGTAGCAGAGGCCAAGTCGGACGCTCAGGCGTCGCTGCTGGGGCTGCACTACCCCGCCACCGATTGCCCCCAGGTGAAGTCGGGTGCAGTGCGGTGAGGTGCGGTTGAGTGTCTTGCTCCCAGGTGGTAGCAGAGGCCAAGTCGGACGCTCAGGCGTCACTGCTGGGGCTGCACTACCCCGCCACTGACTGCCCCCAGGTGAAGTGTGGCGCAGTGCGGTGTAATGCGGTTGAGTGACATGCTGCTCGGTGTAGTGCAGTGATGCATGCTGGGACCACTTTCAGGTGAAGTGCGGTGACGAGCGGTGAATTGTGATGAACTGTGGTGAAGTGTTAACGACTGGCATATGGAGACCAGGTGAGGCAGTGTAACATGCACATACATGCACACACATTCACATTCTCGCGCTTCTCCCATCCAGGTTCTCCCATTCCCAAATTGCTTGGTACTTCGGCCACACAACACCCCTGGCCCCCGCTTCTCCCCCCCTCCCACCCATCCCCCTGCCCCTCCTTCCTCCCTTTTATCCGTCTCTTTCTGATCAAATTTCCGTCCATCGCAGGTCAACCGCACGATGTTTGTAGATGTGCGGCTGAGATTGATCGCAGATGTCACGGCGCCAGATGTGCATATCATCCAGCACCCCTCGCTCAGCAAGAACATCAACCTCTCCAAGTCAACCCTCAAGGGTGAGTCAACGCAAGTCAACACAAGTCAATGCAATAATTCAGATGTCTAGAGGATGTCACAGTGCCTGATCCGACGTGACATACCAAATCTTTAACCTGATCCGACACGACGTGCACATGGTGCAGTACCCCTCTCTCGGAAAAAACATTAACCTCTCCAAATCCACGCTGAAAGGTGAGCGTGAGTCAACTCGAGTCAACACTCATGTCGCATTCCGGACCTGGTCAACGCGAGTCAACAAGTGACCTCCGGACAAGTTTGGTCGTCGCCGTGCGAGGTCATGGATTGGATAGTAACGCACATTGATTGGCGAATAATGGATTGCGGCTCGGCTCGCCCACAGTCGTGAAGCGTCGCAACACGGTTGCTTGTTACGAAGTTGTTTTTTTCGTAACAACTCGGAATGCGACCTGAATGACGAGTCAATGCAAGACAAAACAATGCAAGTCAACGCGAGTCAACGCCCCCCTCCCCTCCCCCCACCAGGCGTGGCCAGCTGTCACAAGGACTGCTGCATCAACGTCGGCATCAACGAGGGTCCTCATAGTACCGGTCACCAGAAGTTAATGCAAGTCAACGCGAGTCAACGCGAGTCAACACCCATGTTTTCCCCCCCACCAGGCGTGTCCAGCTGTCACAAGGAGTACTGCGCCAACATCGGCATCGGAGCGTCGCTGGTCATGGCGGTGGTGGTAACCACAAGTCAATGCAAGTCAACGCAAGTCAACCCCCCTTCTTTCTCTCCCCCCCCCTCCCTCACCCAACCAGGCGTGTCCAGCTGTCACAAGGAGTACTGCGCCAGCATCGGCATCGGAGCGTCGCTGGTCATGGCGGTGGTGGTAACCACCAGTCAATGCAAGTCAACGCAAGTCAACACCAGTCAACGCCCCCTCCTCCTCTCCCCCCTCCCTCACCCAATCAGGCGTGGCCAGCTGTCACAAGGAGTACTGCGCAAACATCGGCATCGGAGCCTCTCTAGTGATGGCGGTGGTGGTAACCACACGGGGCCCGCAGAGCACGAGTGTGCGTAAGCTGTGGGGGCTGGTGGTATGCCACCACATGTCGCCGCGCTTCCTGCCCTACCCCCAGCGATTCGCCTGCGACTTTCTCCTACAGGTGGGTGGGAGTGGGTGGGCAAAATTTCCCCCAACCTGTCCTTTCTCCATCTCGTTCTGGTGGGCTCTTTCACTTGTAAGCCGACCCAAGTCAACACAAGTCTTTCACTTGTGAGTTGACAGTGGTGGTAACCACGCGGGGCCCGCAGAGCACCAGTGTGCGCAAGCTGTGGGGGCTGGTGGTATGCCACCACATGTCGCCGCGCTTCCTGCCCTACCCCCAGCGCTTCGCCTGCGATTTCCTGCTGCAGGTGGGTGAATGGTGGGTGAGTGGGGGTTGGGAGTAGGTGGGTAGGTGGGTGGGGGTTGGGAGTAGGTTGGGAGCAGCCCTCTAACCATCATTCATCCATCTCACCCACCCCTCCCAATCCATCTCTTCTCCCTCCTCCACTCCATTACTAGTCATCACTCATCCTTCCATCCCTCCCCCATCCCATCCATATCTCCCCACTATCAGGCTTTCGCCCTGCAGCTGGCCATGGAGCTAGAGGCAGCGGAGCATGCAGCGGAGTGGCTCACTTCTGACTGTCCCCCATCCCTTCCTCTCTCGTCACCCCATCTCCCTCACTCATCTCCAGGCCTTCGCCCTGCAGCTCGCCATGGAGCTAGAGGCAGCGGAGCATGCAGCGGAGCAACTCTCTTGAACGTTCTCAACCTTATCCCATCCATCTCCATTCATCTTCCCCACTACCAGGCTTTCTCCCTGCAGCTCGCCATGGAGCTAGAGGCAGCGGAGCATGCAGCGGAGCGGCTCACTTCTGACTGTCCCCCATCCCTCCCTCTCTCGTCACCCCATCTCCCTCACTCATCTCCAGGCCTTCGCCCTGCAGCTCGCCATGGAGCTAGAGGCAGCGGAGCATGCAGCGGAGCAACTCTCTTGAACGTTCTCAACCTTACCCCATCCATCTCCATTCATCTTCCCATCAGGCTTTCGCCCTGCAGCTCGCCATGGAGCTAGAGGCAGCGGAGCATGCAGTGGAGCGACTCGCTTGTCTGACCGTCCCTCATCCCTCCTCACCGCTCCCCATTCCCCTCGACCCTTATCTCTTCACCATCAGGCCTTCGCCCTGCAGCTGGCCATGGAGCTGGAGGCGGCGGAGCATGCAGTGGAGCGAAGTAATCCTTTCAAACTCCTCGACCTTACTGTATCTACCTCTTGTCTCCCCACCCGGCCCTCTCACCACCAGGCCTTCGCCCTGCAGCTGGCAATGGAGCTGGAGGCGGTGCAGTGGAGCGAAGTAATCCTTTTAAACTCCTCGACCTTACTGTATCTACCTCTTGTCTCCCCACCCGGCCCTCTCACCACCAGGCCTTCGCCCTGCAGCTGGCAATGGAGCTGGAGGCGGCGGAGCATGCAGTGGAGCGGCGCACGATGCAGATGCAGGCGATTCTGTGTGGCATGCTGTCCAGGGATGTGCCGCTGGGCTTGGTGCGACAGAGCCCAAACATCAAAGACCTGGTAAGGAGGGGGACCTTTTGTGTGTCATGGTGAAGATTTGGTGCAGTCACGATGCAGATGCAGGCGATTCTGTGTGGCATGCTGTCTAGGGATGTGCCCCTGGGCTTGGTGCGACAGAGCCCAAACATCAAAGACCTGGTAAGAGTTGAGACTACATGTGTGGTATGGCAAGGTAACATCGTGGCTAGCACTAGAGATGCAGGCGATTCTGTGCGGCATGCTGTCCAGGGACGTGCCGCTGGGTCTGGTGCGACAGAGTCCCAACATCAAAGACCTGGTAAGGAAGGGGTGGGGGAGGTGGGGTGGGTTGAATTGAAGGAAAGAGTTGGTAGAGCGGCAAACGATGCAGATGCAGGCGATTCTCTGCGGCATGCTGTCTAGAGACGTGCCGCTGGGACTGGTACGACAGAGCCTCAAGGACCTGGAGAGAGTCCACCTCGTGATGTCTCTTTCTCTCACTCCCTCACTCAATCCCTCACTCCCTCCCTCACTCCCTCCATCGCGCCCTACCTCAAGCCTGACCACGCTCGTGCTCCCCCAGGTGCCATCAAACGGTGCTCCCCCAGGTGCCATCAATCGGGGCGGTGCTGCTTTGGGCCACAGTGGTGCCTTTCGCACCCACTCCCTCCGTCCCTCACTCCCTCTGTCCCTCACTCCCTCCATCCCTCCCTCCCTCCGTCCCTCACTCCCTCCGTCCCTCAGTCCTTCCGTCCCTCACTCCCTCTGACCCTCACTCCTCCCTTCTTCCCTCCCCCCTCACTACCTCACTCTCTCCCTCACTCACTCCCTCACTCCCTCCCTCACTCACTCCCTCACTCACACTCCCCGAGGTGCCATTGGACAGGGCGGTGCTGCTAATGGCCGCAGTGGTAACCACAAGTCAACACAAGTCAACACCCGCCTCTCCTCTGTCCTTCCCCCCCTCGTGCTCTCCCCTTTTCAGGTGCCATCGGACGGGGCGGTGCTGCTGCATGCGGGCAAGGCGTGGTAACCACAAGTCAACACAAGTCAACGCCCTCCCCCCCTCGCCCTCCCCCAGGTGCCATCGGACGGGGCGGTGCTGCTGCATGCGGGCAGGGCGTGGTGGGTGGGGGCGTGCCCAGCAGAGGATGACATGAAGGAGATAGCGCGCTGGCTGCGCCTCAAAGACACCCACCTGCTCCACCACACCGCCTCTCCCACCCACTCCCTCCCTCTTGCTTGCTTCCTCTCCCACTCCCTCCCTCCCTCACTCCCTCACTCCCTCTCCCACTCCCTCACTCACTCACTCACTCACTCACTCACTCCCTCACTCCCTCCCTCACTCCCTCCCCCCCTCGCCCTCCCCCAGGTGCCATCGGACGGGGCGGTGCTGCTGCATGCGGGCAGGGCGTGGTGGGTGGGGGCGTGCCCATCAGAGGATGACATGAAGGAGATAGCACGCTGGCTGCGCCTCAAAGACACCCACCTGCTCCACCACACCGCCTCTCCCACCCACTCCCTCCCTCTTGCTTGCTTCCTCTCCCACTCCCTCCCTCCCTCACTCCCTCACTCCCTCTCCCACTCCCTCACTCACTCACTCACTCACTCACTCCCTCACTCCCTCCCTCACTCCCTCCCCCCCTCGCCCTCCCCCAGGTGCCATCGGACGGGGCGGTGCTGCTGCATGCGGGCAGGGCGTGGTGGGTGGGGGCGTGCCCAGCAGAGGAGGACATGAAGGAGATAGCGCGCTGGCTGCGCCTCAAAGACACCCACCTGCTCCAACACACCGTCTTTGTCACAAATTCTCTCGAGCAAGCCGGGCTGCCCTTTGCCTCCCGCCTCGCCCCGGCTGTGTGCGGGCTGGCTGCTGCTATGGTGTCGAGCCGAGGGGATTTCCTCATGTGGTTCCGATCCGGTAAGACTTTCTCCTGTGGTATTCGTTGGAGTGTCTGAGAATCTGCTGTGCTGGCTGCGCCTCAAAGACACCCACCTGCTGCAACACACCGTCTTCGTCACCAACTCTCTGGAGCAAGCCGGCCTGCCCTTTGCCTCGCGCCTCGCCCCAGCTGTGTGCGGGCTGGCTGCTGCGATGGTGTCGAGCCGAGGAGACTTTCTGATGTGGTTCCGCTCGGGTGAGGGTTGGGGTTCAGGGTTTAGGTTTTAGTCCTTCCTCACGATCTTGTCTTTACATCCCGTCTGGCCCCAGCGGTGTGCGGGCTGGCTGCTACGATGGTGTCGAGCCGAGGAGACTCCCTCATGTGGTTTCGTCCAGGTGAGAATTTGGTTAAGAGTTCAGGGTTTAGGGTCTTGTCCTTCTTGATCGGATTCTTCCTTAGCTTCCCGCCTCGCCCCGGCTGTGTGCGGGTTGGCTGCTGCTATGGTTTCAAGCCGAGGGGACTTCCTTATGTGGTTTCGATCAGTTGAGAATTGAGCGGGGAGACTTACTACCGCTGTTGCAGGAGCATGTACACCCTGGAGAGCAGTCCATGCCTTGGGTCCATTCTCTGATTCACACTGAATGGGCTTGATGTGACGGATATGTCTGCTCTCCAACGCTTGCCCAAGCAGAGATCCTGGTCTTGCAAGAGTTTAGGTTCAGGGTTTAGGGTTTTGGGTTTAGGGTCCAGCCATTCCTCTTGGCCTTCTTTTGTGTCTTGCCTCACCTCCGCTGTGTGCGGGCTGGCCGCTGCCATGGTCACGAGCAAGGAGACTTCTTCAAGCAATTTCGGTCTTGCAAGGGTTTGGGTTCAAGGTTTTAGAGTTTAGATTTAGGGTCCATTCCTTTCTCGAGACCCTCACACATTAGGGGAGGGCGCCGCCATGCGTCCCTGCAAAGCTTTCCCCTTTGTCTCCCCCTGTCTTCACAGGTGTAGAGCGGAACATTACATGGGCCGGGGGCAGGAACAAACAAAACTTCCCTACCTCCCCACATCACTTCATCACCACCTGTCTTGGCAGGCATCGAGCCAACATCACAGGGAGGGTGCTTCTCGTGATTCCTTCTCCTCCCTCTTCCCCTGTCACCTTCTGTCTGTCTTGGCAGGCCTTGAGCGAAACATCACGCGGGCAGGGCATAAGTAATCGCACACAGTGAGGAGGGAGAGCGCAGCCATGCATCCCTATGAGTCCGTCTCCCCACCTCACTATCTCTTCCCTCTCCCCACCCCCCCCTTCTTGTCACCCCTTCTTTTTTAAATGGCAGGCATCGAGCGGAACATCACGTGGGCGGGGCACAAGGACAGCCATACAGTGCGGGAGGGAGCCACCATGCATCCCCGCAACTCGTTTGCAGCTTACCTCGAAGTGGTTAAGCTGCAGAGCCAGCCCTGGACTGATGCTGAGGTGGGTGAATGAGGCAAACAACCGCACAGAACCGCTCAGAACCGCACAAAACCGCTCAGAACCGCACAGAACTGCACAGAACTGCACACAACCGCACACATCCGCTCAGAGAGAGAGGGTGCCACCATGCATCCCCGCAACTCCTTTGCAGCTTATCTGAAAGTGGTGAAGCTGCATAACCAGCCCTGGACTGACGCTGAGGTGGTTGAATATAGGGCACAGAACCGCTCAGAACCACACAGAACAGCATATAGCCGCACGGCATGGAGCCGCACAGGAGAGGGCGCCACCATGCAACCCTGCAACTCCTTTGCTGCTTACGTTGTCCCACTGCTGATCCTCTTCCTCACGTCCGCCCACTGCTAATCCTCTCCACCTGTTGGAACCTATTTTCCACCCCTCAAACCCCTTCACACCCATCCATATCCCAGGTTGACGCCATGCAAGGGCTGCGCCTCATAGTGAAGGACTCGCTGCCCCACCCCGAGCCTCAGGACCTGAAGCTCAAGATCCAGGTGAGTGTGGGGCTGGCTGGCTTGCGTTGAGCCACCATGTAAGTCGATTCAAATGTCGATTGCTTAACACAGGTACAAAGTCGCTTCGAAGGACTCGCTGCCCCACCCCGAGCCTCAGGACCTGAAGCTCAAGATCCAGGTGAGTGTGGGGCTGGCTGACAGACTTCGTAAGTCAATTCAAATGTCACTTGCTTTATGCGCAAGGGCTGCGCCTTTTAGTGAAGGACTCGCTGCCCCACCCCGAGCCTCAGGACCTGAAGCTGAAGATCCAGGTAAGAGTGTGTGGCTGGCGGGCTGTCTTTTAGAACGCTTCCAGAACAACCGTGTGAAGTCTCAGTCGTCTTGTTAACTGGTTAGGGAGATGGTGGCGATGGCGTGTGATGAGACGATTTTTTAGTCGAAATTTGTGAGAGTGTGCGACTGACCTGTCTTTGAGAACGCATCCAGAGCAACCATGTGAGATGGTGGTGATGGAACAACCAACTATGGTGAAATCACTTTTGAGAATTCTCAAAATTGATGGAACAACCAACCAACCAACCAGCCAGCCAGACGATGGTAGTGACGTCTCAGTCATCTTGTTAACTGCTTAGGCAGATGGTGATGATGGCTGTGCCGTTTGTGGGGGAGTGTGCAACTCTTCATCTCTCGCCCCACCAGGCTCACTTTTGAGTCGACTCAAAAGTCAACTTGATGGCTGTGCCGTTTGTGGGGGAGTGTGCAACTCTTCATCTCTCGCCCCACCAGGCTCACTTTTGAGTCGACTCAAAAGTCAACTTGATGGCTTTGCCGTTTGTGGGGGAGTGTGCAACTCTTCACCTCTCGCCCCACCAGGCTCAGCTGCTGAACACACTCATCGGAAGAAGGTCTGTCACGCACTCATCGGAAGAAGGTCTGTCACGCACTCATTGTCACCCTTGCCGCCCTCTTCTCACCACTCCTCACCCAATCAGGCTCAGCTGAACGCAGAGCGCCCGACCATCCAGTCCCACATCACCTCCTCTCCTTCCAGCCTCCCTTGTGTCTCCCTCCCTCCTCTCTTTCCCCTCCTCTCCTGCTGCCTTCCCTGCCTGCACCCCCACCTTACAGGCCCAGCTGAACGCGGAGCGTTTAACCATCCAGTCCCAGCTAAAGGAGGTCGCACGCACTCTGGAAAACCAGCTAGAATCCGCCCACACGCCCATCATCGGCATCAGCAGCGGCGGCACCGTCACCGAGTTCAACAGCAAGGCCGCCCACATCACCCCCTCTCCCTTTGCCCGCTGCTTTGTGTCCCCCTCCCTCCCCTCCTCTCCCTGCTCTCCTCGCCCCACCAGGCTCAGCTGAATGCAGAGCGCCTGACCATCCAATCCCAATTGAAAGAGGTGGCCCGCACACTCGAGAATCAGCTCGAATCCGCCCACACGCCCATCATCGGCATCAGCAGCGACGGCACCGTCACCGAGTTCAACAGCAAGGCCGCCCACATCACCCGGAGGGCCAAGAGCGAGGTTCTCGGGAGCAACTTCTTCTCGAGTGTGCTTGCTCCCGAGTCTCACGCACACTTTGTTGCGGCTATGGAGGTGTTAGCGGAAGGGGATGACGTTCAGCCGTTTGATGTTGCTCTGCTGGCGAGGTCTGCTGATTCTGTTGATGCTGCTGCTGCTGCCTCTGCTGCTGCTGCTGCTGGAGCTGCTGCTGCTGGGGGTGGAGCAGGAGGAGCAGGAGGAGGAGGAGGAAAGGGAGGAGGGGTGGTGGGGGAGTTGGATCGGTTGGTGCATGTGCTGGTGAGCGCGTATGGGCAGCACGACCGGCATGGGAACCTGATGAGCGTGCGGCTGATGGGGCAAGACATCACCGCTCTCAAAGTGCTGGCGGGAGAGGTGAGAAAGGCAAGGGAGAGGGGGAAAGCGGGGGATGTGCAGAGGGATGGGCAGAGGGACAGTCGAATACAGAGGGGGGCATGGCTGGCAGTTTGGTGAGTTGGATCGGTTGGTGCATGTGCTTGTGAGCGCGTACGGGCAGCACGACCGGCATGGGAACCTGATGAGTGTGCGGCTGATGGGGCAAGACATTACTGCACTCAAAGTGCTGGCTGGGGAGGTGAGTAAGGTGGGGGGGGGGCATCCAGTGACAGACACGATACAGAGACAGATAGAGACACAAAGCACACGGAGGGGCACGGCAATTTTCTGAGCGTGCAGCTGATGGGGCAAGACATCACTGCGCTCAAAGTGCTGGCAGGAGAGGTGAGTAGCGCGACTAGGGGGGGATTTGGGCGAGGGATGGGTAGTCAGAGGGACAGAATAACACAGTGAGGGGCACGGAAGTATGCTGCAGAAAGTTCTCGTGTGTGTGCGGCTGATGGGGCAAGACATCACTACGCTTAAAGTGCTGGCAGGAGAGGTGAGAGGGGGGAGGGGAGATGGGAACAGGGGCTCAAAGAGAGACACACAACGCAGCAGACACACTGACAGCAGACACACTGACAGCAGACACACTGACAGCAGACACACTGACAGCAGACACACTGACAGCAGACACACTGAGAGCAGATACACTGAGAGCAGACACACTGAGAGCAGACACACTGAGAGCAGACACACTGAGAGCAGACACACTGAGAGCAGACACACTGAGAGCAGACACACTGAGAGCAGACACACTGAGAGCAGACACACTGAGAGCAGACACACTGAGAGCAGACACACTGAGAGCAGACACACTGAGAGCAGACACACTGAGAGCAGACACACTGAGAGCAGACACACTGAGAGCAGACACACTGAGAGCAGACACACTGAGAGCAGACACACTGAGAGCAGACACACTGAGAGCAGATACACTGAGAGCAGACACACTGAGAGCAGACACACTGAGAGCAGACACACTGAGAGCAGACACACTGAGAGTAGACACACTGAGAGCAGACACACTGAGATTTCAAATTAAGCAATTTCTTGAGCAGGCACCATCATCACACCCCCTCTTCCCACCCCTCCCGCTCTTCCCCCTCCTCCTCCCCCTCCTCTTCCCCCTCCTCTTCCCCCTCCTCCTCTTCCTCCTCTTCCCCCTCCTCTTCCCCCTCCTCCTCTTCCTCCTCTTCCCCCTCCTCTTCCCCCTCCTCCTCCCCCTCCTCCCCCCTCTGCAGTACAAGATGCCCGAGGCAGATTCTTAGGCGCCTCAAACATCGTCCCTCCCCCTCCTTTTCCCCCCTCTCAATCCGCCTCCCCTCCCCCTCCTTTTCCCCCCTCTCAATCCGCCTCCCCTCCCCCTCCTTTTCCCCCCTGTCAATCCGCCTCCCCTCCCCTTCCTTTTCCCCCTCCCCCTCCGCCCCCCCTCTGCAGTACAAGATGCCCGAGGCAGAGGCCCGGGCAGCTGTGGACCAATCAGATCTCCTGGTTTTCACGGTGGACGAGTGCGGGCGGGTGACCGAATGGAATGCTGCTATGGAGCAGGCGAGCGGGCTGCCCCGAGAAAAAGTTGTGGGCAGGCGGCTGGTGGGGGAGGTGCTAAGCAGCAATCCGATGCTGCTCATTCCTGACCAGGTAAGTACTAAGTGAGGTGAAGGGAGGTGGCTTGTGGGGGAGGTGCTTAGCAGCAATCCGATGCTGCTCATTCCCGACCAGGTGAGAAGTGGTGCTGTTCATTCTGGGCAGGTGAGAAACGGTTCTGGCTGGTGCTTGTGGCTCGCTGGTTTGCTGGGCAGGTGGTTGTTGGGAGGTGGTTGTGGGAAAGTCTTGTGGGAAGGCGGCTTGTGGGGGAGGTGCTTAGCAGCAACCCCATGCTGCTGATTCCAGACCAGGTAACGTTGACGCTTGTGGCTTGTGGGGTGTGGGAGGTTGACTGTGGGGAGGTGGTTGTTGGAAAGTCTTGTGGGGAGGCGGCTTGTGGGGGAGGTGCTTAGCAGCAACCCCATGCTGCTCATTCCTGACCAGGTGAGAACCCGTGCTGCTGCTGCTGCTGGTGCTGCTTATACGGTGGGGGATGAATGAACTGAGTTCCAGCTTGTGGGGGAGGTGCTTATTAGCAATCTGATGCTGTTGATTCCCGACCAGGTGAGATGCGGTGCTGCTGGTCAGACCAGGTGAGATGCGGTGCTGCTGGTCAGACCAGGTGAGATGCGGTGCTGCTGGTCAGACCAGGTGAGATGCGGTGCTTGTAGTGTGTAGGAGGAGGTGGCATGTGGGGGAGGTGCTTAGCAGCAATCCCCTGCTGCTCATTCCGGACCAGGTGAGGCATGGTGGTGTTGTGAGACGTCTCAAAACATGCAATCCCATGCTCGTTAGTTTAGCGGCAATCCCCTGCTGCTCATTTCCAACCTGGTAAAGACTGGTGCTTGTGGCTCGCTGGGGAAGGTGGCATGTGGGGGAGGTGCTTAGCAACAACCCCATCCTGCTCATTCCAGAGCAGGTGAAAAAACTGTGCTGCTGCTGCTGCTGCTGCTCATTCCAGACCAGGTGAGGCATGGTGGTGTTGTTTAGAAGCTGTCCCGTGCTGCTCATTCCAGACCAGGTAGAGTTAATGCTCGTGGCTTGTGCGGGAGGTGGCTTGTGGCGTGTGCGGGAGGTGGCTTGTGGCATACATCACCCCACATCACCCCACATCACCCCACCCCCTTTCCATTCACCCCTGCAGGACAATCTGGTGATGTTTGAAATCGCCCTCTGTCAAGCACTGAACGGGCGGGACACGAGGAACCACGAGCTGCAGCTCCCTCCAATGCACATCACCCTCCCACCCCCCCAATCCTACCCACGCTCCTCTCTCCTGCAGGATAACTTGGTGATGTTTGAAATAGCCCTCTGTTAAGCACTGAACGGGCGGGACACGAGGAACCACGAGCTACAGCTCACATCCTATACCGTCACATCCCCTCCCCATCTCCTCCCCTCCTTCCTCCTGCTTCCCTCCTGCAGGACAATCTGGTGATGTTTGAGATCGCCCTGTGCCAGGCTCTCAACGGGAGGGACACGAGGAACCACGAGCTACAGCTCACTCCCCTCCACATCACCTGAACCCATCCCTTCCCCGCAACCCCCTTCACCCCCTTCACCCCTGCAGGACAATCTGGTGATGTTTGAGATCGCCCTGTGTCAGGCCCTGAACGGGCGCGACACGAGGAACCACGAGCTGCAGCTCAAGACTTGGGACGGCCGCCCCATGGACACTCTCCTGCACATCATCAGCAGGTGCAGTGCGGTGCAGTGCGGTGCAGTGTGGTGGAGTGTTGTACGGTACAGTAGAGTGTGGTACGGTGCGGTTCGATGCGGTACACGGCTGGCCCATGGAACACACTCCTGCACATCATCAGCAGGTGCAGTGCGGTGCAGTGGGGCCGATGGGGTCACAGTGGGGCGTAATGGGTTGCAGTGTGGTGCTGCGTGGTGCTGTTGGACGCTGTAGGGTGCAATGCTGTCTTCCACTCAGCGCTCCCCGAATGGAGAGTTGGTGGGAGCAATGTGTTCCATTCAGGACGTGGCGGAGAGGCAGGTGGTAGAAAGTTGCACATTGCAATGTTATGGAGAACCTTACCTTATCGCTCGCCTTTACTGTACTGCATCCCTATTCTATCCCCCATAACAGGCGCTCCCCCACGGGCGAGCCGGTGGGAGCGACGTGCTTCATGCAAGACGTGGTGGAGAGGAGGGCAGCAGAGGAGTGACTACGAGAGCCCTGATAGCCACACCTCACCCTCGGCTTTCCTCCTCCCCCTCTCCATCCCTGTTGCTTCCAGGCGCTCCCCCACGGGCGAGCCGGTGGGAGCGACGTGCTTCATGCAAGATGTGGTGGAGAGGAGAGCAGCTGAGAATGCATCGGCCATGAAGATGGTGGCAGAGGCGGCGAGTCAGGCCAAAACTATGCAGCTGGCGTGCCTGTGCCACGAGGTGAGGGGGGGTTGAGTGCGGTGAACGGCGGTGAAGTGAGTGTTGAGTGTGGTGATGGGGTGTGGTGTGCGGTGAAAGCAGGTGCTGAATGCGCTGTGTGAACGCATCGGCAATGAAGATGGTGGCAGAGGCGGCTAGTCAGGCCAAAACCATGCAGCTCGCGTGCTTGTGCCATGAGGTGAGGACAGGTTGAGTGCGGTGAACGGTGGTGAAGTACAGTGAAAGATTGGTTGAGTGCGGTGTAGAGAGGAGAAACGAGGAGTTGGTATGGGCAGCAGAGAATGCATGTGCGATGAAGATGGTGGCAGAGGCGGCGAGTCAGGCCAAGACCATGCAGCTGGCGTGCCTGTGCCACGAGGTGAGGGGGGTTTGAGTGCGGTGAAAGACAGTTAACAAGGTGAATGAAGGGTAGAGAGTGGTGAAGACAGGTGAGATGTGGAGTTGCTGCTCGCCAGGCCAAGAACCAGCATCCCAGGTATACCATCAGAACCCCATTCACACACATCATTTGCGGACCGTGATTCAAACATTACCCTGCAAACACTACCCACCTACCCCCATGAAAATATGCAGACATCCTGTCATCCTCCATCTCTCCCCCACATCACCCCCACCCAGATCCGCAACCCCCTGAACGGCATCCTCTTGTCCATCAGCTTCATGGAGGGCACTGAAATGTCATTGCACCAGAGAACCTTCTACACCCCGCTGGCCTTGTGTCCCACACATTTCACACCCCAACTCCCCCCCCCCCCCCCTCAACCCCACCCCCCACTCAGATCCGCAACCCGCTGAATGGCATCCTCTCGTCCATCAGCTTCATGGAGGGCACTGAAATGTCTTCAGACCAGCGGGACCTGCTTCACGCCACCTCCGCCTGCGGGTATGTGTGTGTGTTCCTCTGCGCTGCCCCTCTGCGTTCCATTGAAGCCCTGAGACCTCTCATCCATCAGCTTCATGGAAGGCACGGAGATGTCATCATCAGACCAGCGGGACCTGCTCCACGCCACCTCCGCCTGCGTGCGGGTATGTGCATCTCTTCTTTCCTCTGCCGCTTTGCCTTTCTTCGGGTACGCCTCTCTCAGCTGCTCCCCTCACATGGCACATGGTACATGGCACATGTCACACGAAACATGGTACATGGCATGACACGTGGCACATGGCACATGGCACATGGTACATGGCACATGGCACATGGTACATGGTACATGGCACATGGTACATGGTACATGGCACATGGCACATGGTACATGGTACATGGCACATGGTACATGGTACATGGCACATGGCACATGGTACATGGCACATGGTACATGGCACATGGCACATGGTACATGGTACATGGCACATGGCACATGGTACATGGTACATGGCACATGGCACATGGTACATGGTACATGGTACATGGCACATGGCACATGGTACATGGTACATGGCACATGGTACATGGCACATGGTACATGGCACATGTCACACGTCAGCCTTTCTTTCCTCTGCCGCTTTGCCTTTCTCAAAAGCTAAGCAAGTACCTGCGTCGCGTCGTGGACAATGTGTTGGATCTGAGCAAGCTAGAGGAGGGCAAGCTGGAGGTGGAGAGCTTGCTGGCGCCGTGATTCACCCCTCTGCACTCACCTGCACCCCTCTTCCCCGTCTGCACCCTGTATCAACAGCAAGTACCTGCGTCGCATCGTGGACAATGTATTGGACCTGAGCAAGCTAGAGGAGGGCAAGCTGGAGGTGGAGAGCGAGCTTGCACTCTGATTCACCCCTCATCACCGCCCTGCATCCCTCATCACTCCCCTGCACCTGTACTGTTCTCCACAGCAAGTACCTACGGAGGGTGGTGGACAATGGTATTGGATCTGAGGAAGCTAGAGGAGGGCAAGCTGGAGGTGGAGAGCGAGCTTGCACTCTGATTCACCCCTCATCACCGCTCTGCATCTCTCATCAACCCTCTCTATTGTTCTGTACAGCAAGTACCTGCGTCGCGTCGTGGACAACGTGTTGGATCTGAGCAAGCTAGAGGAGGGCAAGCTGGAGGTGGAGAGCGAGCCGTTTGAGCTCATTCACGTAGTGGACGCCGTCATTGCACAGGTGGGTCTCTTTACCACATGCCAGTCTATCAGGTGGGTGGGTGGATGGGGGGTGCGTGGGTTGGGCCAGATCCCTGCTCTTCCCCTTTGCCGTGTGACCTCTCTCCATGCAAGCTGGAGGTGGAGAGCGAGCCGTTTGAGCTCATTCACGTGGTGGACGCCGTCATTGCACAGGTGGGTCTCTTTACCACATGCCAGTCTATCAGGTGGGTGGGTGGATGGGGGGTGCGTGGGTTGGGCCAGATCCCTGCTCTTCCCCTTTGCCGTGTGACCTCTCTCCATGCAAGCTGGAGGTGGAGAGCGAGCCGTTTGAGCTCATCCACGTGGTGGACGCCGTCATTGCACAGGTGGGTCTCTTTACCACATGCCAGTCTATCAGGTGGGTGGGTGGATGGGGGGTGCGTGGGTTGGGCCAGATCCCTGCTCTTCCCCTTTGCCGTGTGACCTCTCTCCATGCAAGCTGGAGGTGGAGAGCGAGCCGTTTGAGCTCATCCACGTGGTTGACGCCGTGATAGCACAGGTGGGTCTCTTTCCAGTCCCTTAGGTGGGTGGTTGGGCAGGTGGGTAGGTCGGATCTCACCTCTTCCTCTAACCTTGTAACCCCCGTCCATGCTAGCTGGAGGTGGAGAGTGAGCCGTTTGAGCTCATCCACGTGGTTGACGCCGTGATTGCACAGGTGAGTTCCTTTCCACGTGGCAGTCCCACAGGTAATTGGGTGGGTGGGTGGGTGAGAATGTGAATGCGAGAGCATGAGAATGCGGGGGACAAGGGTCTGCAGGTGTTCTGCTCGGTTGCAAGCTCCCCCTGTTCCTCCCCCTCCACTTCCCCCCCTGTCTCCCCCCTGTCTCCGCTTCCCCCACACCACAGGAGCATGAGAACGCAAGTGACAAGGGTCTACAGGTGTTCTGCTCGGTTGAGCCGCAGTGTGCCGACGTGATTGTAAAGGGCGACAAGCACCGCGTGCAGCAGATCGTAACAAACTTCTTCCGTAACGCAGTGGAGTACACCGAACAAGGCTGGGTCGAGGTTGGGAACTTGCTGGTGCTCTGCTCAATCACAAGCTCCCCCTGTTCCCCTCCGCCTTCCCTTCTCCGCCTCTTATTCTTCCTCTTCCGCCCCACTGCAGGAGCATGAGAACGCAAGCGACAAGGGTCTACAGGTGTTCTGCTCGGTTGAGCCGCAGTGTGCCGACGTGATTGTAAAGGGCGACAAGCACCGCGTGCAGCAAATCATCGCAAACTTTTTTCGTAACGCCGTAGAATACACCGAACGAGGCTGGGTCGAGGTGCAGCTCTATAAAGGGTCTGGCGAACCAGCTTATAACGAGTACGGCAGCAGAGACGCGCAGTGGGAGCGGGAGGGAGGCGCGCTGGCCGGGCGGCTCATGCACGGGCAGCAGACCGGGCAGCGGAATGGGCAGGACCGAAACGTTTCGGCTGACCAAGAGGAGATGTTTCCGTTTGTGCTCTGTGTAGCAGATTCCGGTCCGGGGTTGAGTGAGGAGCAGCGGCAGCAGGTGTTTACGGGTTTGGATCCCACTAGTGCAGCAGCACCGACCATCTCTAGTGGCGCTTCCGACACTGAATCCCGGTGAGTGACCTGACCACTTGCTTCTGAGCGCTGCACTGCATGCCTGAACCTCAACTTGGGTGGGTGGTGGGGTTGAGTGAGCAGCAGCGGCAGCACGTGTTCTCGGGCTGGATCCCTCCAGTGCAGCAGCATCGTCTATCTCTAGTGGCGCTTCCGACACTGAATCCCGGTCAGTAAGGCTGCTCTGAACCCTGGTGTGGTGGGTGGTGGGTGGTGGGTGGTGGGTGGTGGGTTGAGTGAGGAGCAGCGGCAGCAGGTGTTTTCGGGCTTGGATCCCACTAGTGCAGCAGCACCGGCTATCTCTAGTGGCGCTTCCGACACTGAATCCCGGTGAGTAAGGCTGCTGTGATGGGTGCTGGGTGTTGGGTAGTGGGTGGTGGGTGTTGGGTGGTGGGTGGTGGGTGGTGGGTTGAGTGAGGAGCAGTGGCAGCATGTGTTCTCAGGCCTGGATCCCAGTGCAGCAGCACCGGCTATCTCTAGTGGCGCTTCTGACACTGAATCGCGGTGAGTAAGGCTGCTCTGATGGGTGGTGGGTGGTGGGGTTGAGTGAGCAGTGGCACTTTTTGCTGCTTGCCTTTCCCCTCCCACCTTTTCCGGGCCTCATAGTAAGTCACAAGCTGGCCTCTCTCATGCACGGCACTCTCTCCTGTCTTTATGTGTCCTGCCTCCTCCTTCTTTCTCCCATTCCCTTCCCACCAGCTCCTCTGCCCCAGCAGGTTCAGGCCTGGGCCTCATAGTGAGTCAGAAGCTTGCCTCTCTTATGAGCGGCTCCCTCTCCTGCGCCTCCGCCCTCTCCCAAGGCTCCTCCTTCCGCCTCTCCCTCTCGCTCCCCTTCGCCGGCCACTCCAACCACGCCGATCCTGCTGACGCTGGCGCTGAGCTGGCGGCCGGCCACGCCAGCCTGGCGCCAGGTGGCATGATGAGCTGTTACCTGAGTAACCGGGTGAAAGGGGTGGTGTATACGTCGGTGGGGGTGTGGAGCAGTGCCGAGGAGATAGCAGCTGCACCAGTTGTACCTCCCTCTCTCTCCCGAAGCCTATCTGCTTCTGTGCCTGCCCGAACCGGCTCATCTGCTGCTGCTGCTGCTGCTGGTGCCAGTGCTGCTGCTGGGATGGTGCAGACTGGAGCAGGCTTATCTGGGGCAGGTGTATCTGCACCAGCACATGTGACAGCTGGAGTGGCAGGCATGACCCTTACCGGAGGATACTCACATGGCCTTGCCCTTGGGGCTGCTGCTGGTGCCACTGCTGGTGCCGCTGGTGCAAATACCGCCAGCCCTTTCGGCAGCACCACTACCTACGGCGATGATTCTCTCACGGCTGCTGTTGCTGCTATCTCTGGCATCGCCCGTTCTGCTTCCCTTTCTTCTGCTGGTGCTTCTGCTGGTGGTGCTGCTTCTGCCGCTGCTGCTGTTCCAAGTTCTAATGGCAGGGGGGCAATCACGGCAGAGGTGGGTGGAGTGGAGGGAGGAGGAGGAGGAGGAGGAGGAGGAGGATTGGGAGGAGGAAATGACAGCCAGGTGTTTTCGAGGTTGGCAAGTCATGGTTCAGAAGAGGGCTCGGCACATGCTGCTGCGGAGGATGCTGACGTGGACACTGCTGCGCTGGCAGCAATAGTTGAGCTGGAGGCGGCCTATGGTGGCCGGGTGATGGTGCAGGTGCTTCGTGAAGTGGTGGATTTCCGGGAAGTTGCGGTCTTGGTGGAAGTGGGTGTGATGAAGGAAATGGTTGAGAATGGTGGCGTGGAGAACAATGATGGGACTGTGGGAAGCAATGAGATGACTATAGTGAGTACGCAGCAATGGGGTTCGGCACTGAGACTGGGACCGTTGGCTGATGCTTTGCGCAGTGCAACGAAGGCGGCGGTTGTAGCGGCCAACCGGACGTTGTAGCAGCACAAGCTCGAGGTGGAGGCGCTCATGGCCACGTGGTGTGCTAAGAATTATGTGCTGTGTAATATGTATAGGCTATAAGTTTTTGTTTTCTGAACTTATATGTTTTATTTCCTTTGTGCGTGTAAGTAGGGCAACTTCGTTCGGTTTTTGTTCTTTAGAAGTCGTCGAGTGACGCGGATTATTTATGTGACTTCGCGTTGACGTGTCACTTGACGCCTTGCTTTCTGCCACGTGTTTCGGGAACCCCATCCATGACAGAGGCCGTGCGTGTTCGTTGATCGTCCAGTGCGGTTCAGTATGTTTCAACACGGTATACAGCACCTTTCGGACCGTACCGGCCATGACCGCTATGCAATCAAGTAAACCGATATATAAAGTGAGAATATACCACATCAACCAACTTTCTCAGCCATCCTTGAGATTTCCCCGCGCGTGCTTTCAAAACCAATCAGATCAGCCCATACCCCCTCACTTCCCCATCCCTCCATCCCCCTTCCGTCCCTGCCCTGCCCTCTTCCTCCAAGCGGAAGTTCCGCCAGTTTTTTCGCCCAAGAAATTCCGCTCCCATCTCCCCGCAAGGCCGCTTTCCCCGCAGGCCCGCCTGAAGGGTTTTGGCTCTTACGGCTATTTCTACTTAGCTAGTTATTTCTTTTAGTTTCTGCTGCTTGTTCAGCGATTCTGCCTGACGCACGTTTTTTCTCCGTAAGATCCGCCGCATTCGTCGGGTCCGTGCTTCCGCCATGGCTGCCATGGCGACATTGCTTCCCGCACTTAGCTCCGCAGCGGTTTCCGCCAGTTTCTCCACCGTCTCATCGAGGAGCAAGAGCCTCGCCTGTGAGTACCGTAGGTCTCAGGCCCGTTCACTAATAGTGTCAGGCTTGGCTCCCTGATTAGGGTTAGGGTCAAATTTAGTTTTAGGGGCTTTTGAGCCTGAAAGCAGAGTCTGTTTTCTTCATCACCTGTTACGGCTAGTTCGAGGGTTCGCGCCATATAGTAGAATACCGACCCTTAGCATAATGTTCACGCGTGCATATAACTTGACCGGAAAGTTATGTGCGAATGTCATTATTTCGCGTGAGCCTCGACCCTGCTCGAGTTTTTCCTAGGCGGCACAGGATGCAAAATAGAGCCTGGACGCGAGTTGAGTCTCTTTCGTGGCTCTTCGGGTCGGCGGTGCAGGTGAAGCGGTAGCCGTTGAAATGTGGGAGTAGAGAAGATAACGCGGTGTAACATGATTCGACTGGGCTCGACCTGTGTCTGCTGAGCTCCACCTGTACGCGATCAGCTCGCTCAATGAGACTGTGTCGGAGACGTCTATAGAGAATCATCTTTTGGTCCTACTTAGCTTGTTCGCCCGGTTCGCTCATCTGTCTGGCTCATCCGCTTCCTTCATTTCACAGCTCTATGTTACCCTCCTCGTCCCATCGTCGGACGTTCTTCGTTGTTCTTTGTCAACCACCCGTTTGTTAATCCGAATGAGCGAGTCACTCTTGAGTCGAACGAACTCCCTCACCCTGACCCATTTCATCCCTCTGCCCTTCCCCTATCCTCCACTGTCCCGTCTCTCCCTCCCTTCGCATCCCTCGGTCCTTTCTCTCTCTCCCGTCCCCTCTAAATAACGCATTCTTCATGCGTCTCTTTCCGCCTCCCTCCTAGTTTCGCTTTTCCTTCCTTCCACATTCCGCTTTCTCATCCGGTATCATCCCCTCCCTCCTCTCCTGCCACCTCTCAAGGCGATTTCACATTTTCTCCAAACGTTTGCTTATCCTCGCTCAATCTTCACCTTTCCCTTGCCCTTGTCCTTCCCCCATTCCCCACCCTTGCCCCTCCCCCCTTTCACCCCCCTCTTTCACCGCACCCCTCAAGCGAGCCCCTCACGTTCTCCATGCGCTCGTTCCGCCCCGCCGTCCCCCTAGCCTCGTTCTCCTGTGTTTTCTCTTCCCCTTCACCTTACCACATCCCGTTCCTGCATTCCTCATTCCCCTTCTCTGCCCCTTCCCCCCCACTCCCCAGGCGAGCCCCTCTCTCCATCTGCTCTCTCCGCCTCGCAGTCCCCCAGGCCACTTGCCCCTGTCTGCTTACCTTGCTGTTCCCTATCCTCTGTTCCTTCTCCTCCCCTCCCAACCAAATACACCCCCCCTCCCCCCCCCTTTCTCCTCCCCCACCCCTCAGGTGAGCCCCTCACTTTCTCCATGCGCTCACTCCGCCTCGCCATCCCCCAGGCCGCCGCCACCACCGCACCAGTGGTCGAGCTGGCAGCTGACGTGGCAGAGGCCACGTCAGCAGTGGAGGAGCTGCCGCTACAGTCAGCAGAGGACATCAAGACGGCACGGAAGGAGGAGCAGCGACGCAAGCGATTGGTGCAGAAGAGGAAGCTGCGGAAGAAGGGCAGATGGCCGCCCTCCAAGATGAAGCAGCACCAGAATGTGTAACACTGCTACCGTATGATGTAACACAACTTTCTTATGATGGCAGTTATACTAGGTATTTGTGTAACCAAGATGCGTGAGAAGGGCTGCTTTGTGTGCAAATTGTTGTACTCTACATGGTGCTGCCGACAAGCCAAAAACCTGGAAGATGAAAGATGCTGCCAGCGTGGTGACAGTGGAATCTGGAATGGAATCTGACAAACCACATGCTGCGCACTTCGCAGAGTGCTGCTGACAACAGCAGAGACTTTTGTACCATAAGGTAAGCAGAAGAGGAACATAGCTGAAAAAAATCGGGCACAACATGAGGACGCGTCACAATTGAAACATCGATCCTGCGCAGGATCGGTGTTTCGCGGGTACAGTACTTCGTTAAGTTGCGAATTGGTGGTTACTTGGCTTCGTTATCTGTCGCCAATATACAGTTGTCCCCTCAGAGTCGCGCGATCGATGTGCCCTTGCCACACATCGATCGTGCAATTTCGTCCAGATTTTTCCCCATGATTTTTCAAACGTGTCCCTTGAGAATTGCGGTGAGCCCGCGATTGCAACAATGCAGTCGTGGCACACCGATGTGGCGATCGATTTGGCAGGATCGGCAAACACTCCCGATCCTTCCTCGGTATTTCAATTGTGACGCGTCCTGAGTACCTAGGAGCATTGAACCTTGTGTGAATCATGATGTGATACCAGATGCAAACACATCTAGATTCTAGAGTGACACGAAATTCAGGAAAACGAATAAATTTGACATGCGGTCGCAAATCAATGCAAGGTACAGTAACATTCAACACTTACCTAACATGTCATCAATCAAGGCATGCCATTGTTCAAGAGCACAGCATTAACATCAATAGCGTACCAATAATGCCCACAATTACACCCACTAAGAGCGTATTCCTACGGGGCCACCTCGTATCAAGAATGAAATTGACTTTTGTTTACGGTATAAAACACCTTATATCAAGAATAGACCGAACCAGCGCACCAATGAAAATGCTCGCACACCCAGAAGTGAACGTGCTGATTTTCCGACGCACGGTTCCAGTTGACGCGAAGTCGTCAGTCCAGTGAATGCGGCCGACAAATAGTCATGCGAAACTGCACACGGTGGCAGTCGTGCGCCGCGCGCGAACGTGCAAAGTGTGCAAACTTGTTCATGCTGGGTCGCAACATGCCACATCAGCTGTTGATGGAGTCGCACATGTGGGTTAACCGGCAACTTTTACTGATATGAGGTTTTGGCGAACTTGTCAATTTACAGGCAGGAGTAACATTCTTGATACGAGGTGGCCCCGTAGGAATACGCTCTAACACCATGAACCATGCTACCACCGCATAATTCATTAATGCATGCCATTGCTCGTCAAGAGCACCACAACATTGACAACAATACCAATCGTTCCCACAGCTACACCCACCAACACCAGAAGCCATGCCACCACCGTATCAGACACCGATACAGTCCCTCCCTTGGCCCTTAAAGCCACAAGCCCAGGGAAAACAAACCCTATAATAACCGCTGCAGTACAGCCCATAAACTGGAACACTATCCAGATATCCGGCACCAGCACCGCTCCACAGAAGGCTAAAACGAGGAGGAACACTGTAAGGAGTACAAAACGGACTTGGCGCCAGAAACGCCGCCTTTTTGTTGCCTTTTCTTCGGCCTGTCGAAGCTCTTCAAGCCTTGCTTCCTCGTCCTCTTCCTCCTCCTCCCCCCCCTCTGTGTCCTCCTCCCCCCCCTCTGTGTCCTCCTCCTCCCCCTCTCTGTCCTCCTCCTCCCCCTCCATCTCCTCCCCGTTCCTCTCTTCTCCCTCCTCCTCCTCCTCTCCTACCTCCTCCGCCCCATCCTCATTCCCATCCACCTGAATATATTCAAGGGAATTTACCCTCGTCCTCTCCTTCGTCTGCCCGCTGCTAAAACCAGCTTCCCCATTTACAGCTTCAGGTTTGCCACTGCTCATGGTTCTTCCCTCGTCCCTCCCTCCTCTCCCTTTCCTCCCCAGACAAGCCGACAGCAGCGACGCCACAACCAGCCGCAGCTGAAACAGCGCCAGAGGCAGCGACAGCACCCGGGAAACAGCGTACCCAACCTTCACCCCCTGCCCTAGCGCAACCGCATGAGCCGCAATCACGGGGCTCATTCCTGGAACAACATCCAAGCTTGTGTCGAAATCGTAGAGCACGTCTGTGTGCACGTCGGGGCCGAAAAGGACGAGCCCGAAAATGCCGACAGCGAGGTAGACGAGGGTGGTGATGATGACCGAGCAGCGCACGACCGTTCTCATGCGGGGGAGAGAGCGGTCTCGTAGCTCCCTGTAAATAGGAGTGACTGGGGGGATGGTGGAATGGAAAGGAACAACAAGGATATATGGATATGAGAGGTAGACGAGGGTGGTGATGATGACCGAGCAGCAGACGACCATGCGCATGCGGGGGAGAGAGCGGTCTCGTATCTCCCTGTAAATAGGAGTGACTGAGGGACGAGGGGAGAAGGTGGATGAGTGCAAAGGAGCTGGAGCGAAAATCATAGAGCATGGACGTGAGTAGTACAGTATACTCGCTAAAAAGGACAAGAACTCGATCGAATCCTGCTTGGTGTGGTCGAGACTACAGAAGGGTACTCACCGTTGAAATGGCATATGAAGGCGTTGGTGATGACGTTGATGACGCTGAAAGAAGCAAGGGCATGACAACTTACTCACTCATACTCTCTAAAGAAGAACTTGATAGATTCTCACCGTTAAATTGGCATATGAAGGCATTCGTGACGACGCTGATGACGCTAAAACAGCAGGGGAGTAACCACTTACTCGTACTTTCCAAAGCAGAACATCACAAAATCCAATTGTACCGTTGAAATGGCATATGAAGGCGTTGGTGACGCTGAAAACAGCAAGGGCATTGCCACTCACTCGCACTCGCTAAATCGGAACTTGATAGAATCCAATCCATCACACTCACCATTAAAATGGCATATGAAGGCGTTTGTGACGACGTTGATGACGCTGAAAACAGCAAGGGCGTTGCCAGACGTGGCAAAGAGAGGCGGCATGGTGGCAGCACCAGCTGCAATCTTCCCTCCAGACAGCAGCAGCACGAGCAGCACAAATGCAATGGCCAGGGCCACTGATATCTTGCTCGCGACCTTCATGGATCCTGATTGGTAGAAAGGGTTTGACAAGGTATGAGGCGGGAAGACGAATTTTAGATTGAGACTAATTGGGGAGCCTCGGAAATTGAAAGATGGGAGTAGATCGAGAGGCTTTCAAAGAGAGGCGGGATGGTGGTTGGCAGCAGCACCAGCTGGTGAGGGCCCAAACGATGAGGAAGGTGAGGGGGTTGAGGGAGGGCTAACGAGGGATTGGGTTCAAGGAGCGGGAGGGAGAGAGATGGGAATGAAGCAATCACGAAACAAGGAACACGGAAAATGATACATTGAGACATTGAGACATCGAGACATTGAGAAATTGAGACGATGAGACATTGAGACGTCTCAACTAAGAATGTCAATCACACCTTGAGCGTAAGACTCACCGAGTCTATCTTGCAGGCAGAGAGGCAGAATAAGGAGAATGACTATAGCGAGGATAGACTTTCTGGCCACGTCTGGGGACAAGTGCAGCTGATCCAGTGGCAGAACGCCAGGTCCTGTGGCGCTGCCTACAAGGACGTCCCCTACAGTCACACACGCAGAATGAATATGGAGTTAAGGAAGGATAACGGCAAGAAGATTTTTTGGGCGTACTTTAGCAAGAAAGTCCAGGGTTTGGATGCATTTGGCAGCATTTGGATGCCTATAGAGCTGCGACAGTAACGATGGGGACGTCCACATGAAGGACAAATGGCACTGAATGGCACAAACAAGAATCACAAAAGCTTAATGAAAATTGTAGTGTAGTCAATTGAAGTGAATGGAAATTGGGAATAAAAAAACAAAACCACTATCAGATAATCTTTTTGAGTGCGCTCACCGATGATATCAAGGAACACCATCATGAGACCAAGGTTGTTGACGACAACAAACGACACCTTTTCTGATGCTCCTTAAAATGCTTAACACTCACCGATAATATCAAGGAACACCATCATGAGACCCAGATTGTTGACAACAATCGACACCTGCAGCACCAGCCGTCCTGTGCTTCCCAGAGCCGTAGCCACAGTGTGGTTATAACTTAGCTTCTCCTCATCCCGCATACTGAAACTGCGGCTGCCAACACTGCTGAAATTCCCTCCATTGCTAGCGTTCGCTTTTCTTCCCAACTCTCTGAAATTGCCGTCTCTGCCAGTTCCTGCTGCTCCCGCGGCGTCATTTGACATGTCAGATCCCTGAAACCGTGAAGGTTCCTCAGCGGAGGATGGAGAGCCAGCAGCGGCGACGGTGCAGCGAACCATGGCCATGACGGATCCATAAGTCAATAACGCCACGAAAATAAGCGCTACACTCCCTGTCACGACTCCCAGGACGTTCATAGCCGCAGGTAAGGCCATCATGCCCGCGCCGATCATCGTGTTGGAGAGATTAAATATGGAACTCTTTAACGACGTGGTCCCGTCCTCCCGAGCTCGACTAACCACGCGCGCTTGCGACGGAGGTGGAGGCTGGGACGGAAGAGACGGCTCGGACGGCGGGGAAGGCGGCGGGGAAGGCGGTTCCCTCTCAGGCAACCCAGGAGTTGACTCGAACGACTCTCTCCCTTCTTCCTCGTCAGGCAGAAACGGAACCTTTTCGTGAAGCGACGCGAGCGAGCCGAAAGGGGAGGGAGATCGCTGGACATGGGGCCGGCGACCGGGAGGAATGGCTCGATTGCCGGGAAACGGGACCTGGGGGGGTCCTGTTCGCCGAGCCTGCTGATTACTAACGGTCGGAGCAGCGCCAGGACGAGACCCAGGTCTAGTTCCCCTTCCCGGGAGGACAATGTAGGGGTTCACTCCAGGAGCTCGGCCAGGAACAGGAACGGCTCCATCCTCGATATAATCGGACTCTCTGTCCGATGGTGGGAGGCCGGTGAGAGAAGATCCGATGGCGGTTTGCGGGGATGGTGACAGCGATGGCTGGCTAGGACGATAGGGAAGCCCGTAGAAGAAATCTAACGGGCTTCGGCCGCTTAGAAGAGGCTCGGTTATGGGTAAGGAACCGACTAGGTCTTCAAAGGAGCCACGGAACCGGCTGATTGCGGTGCGGTTGTTCGCCATTTCGGAGATTTGTTTTTCCCTTTTTAATGTTTAATAAAATACCGAACGGCGAAAGTGGTCAGAAGAGAGTGAAGACGACTCTCTTACAGTATTGTTAGGCAGCTCAATGGAGCCGCTGAAGAAATGGAGCTACAGCTTTAGGAAGCCATAGCTCCACAGAAAGGAAGCGAGGAGTATGGGGAATGCCATATTTGTGTGGAAGTGGAAGAACAGTTGAAGGAGCATGTCCCGTCCCGATGTAGTTGATCCTAGGGGGGGGGATCTCTCGATGCATGGAAAATAGGATTTTCAGTGGAAGCACAAATATATTTTATTATCTAACTTGCTATGTGGGGAGAGCCACACTTAGGACGAGGAGGTGATCGGAGGGGGGGGGATCTCTCGATGCATGGAAAATAGGATTTTCAGTGGAAGCACAAATATATTTTATTATCTAACTTGCTATGTGGGAGAGCCACACTTAGGACGAGGAGGTGCTATCCAGAATTCTCAAATGGTGCGCTGGGTCGGAGATCGATCAATATGGTTTCATTTCACACAAGGAAAACTCTTGGGGTGACTTCAGAAAACCGAATAAACAACCCACACAACGCCGTCAATTCGCCGCACCTGATAGCGTCCTGCTTCCTGATTGGTTCACGAATTGCTTCAACCATGCGGTGTTCTCGAGGCCGAAACTCTCAAGACTTCTGCTCTTCCCTATCCACAAGTTCAAGTTCTGCTTCCAGATCCCCTCCAACACACATCCATTCCACTTCTATCTGCTTCGCTTTCCACACACTCCTCGTTTTCCCCAACGAAGCAGCTAGCAACTATCGCTCCATTTTTGGCTAAGATGCCGAAGACATACACTTTGGTTAGAGATCATGTGAAGTCACAGCAGAGCACATCTCTTCTGTGTGGAGCGACGCTCGGCCTCCTTACAATCATTCTCCTGCTTGTTGGAGATGGAGCATTTGAATTCATAAATTCTCAGCCGATGGTTGCTGATACTTGCGCATGTGCAGATGCTACTAAAACACTTGGAATTCCAGTCGTTTACGAACGTAGTTCCAGATTGCTTGTGACAGTTCCGGCAGAGAGAAACGATGAAACGTCAGGAGATGACCCACTTCCACTAGATCGACTGAGAGGCGTCACGACATTGCTGGACTTCATGCGGAGGCATCTTGGATCAGATCTCAGCAACGTTACGATGCTGGAGAACGGCAGTGATGTGACCGGAAGCGTTGGAAATGAGCTGGGAAAAGTGGTTGGCAAGTACGTTGGCGTTAACTGCCCTTTTGAAGGGGATGACACTTCGGCGCTGAAAGTCAAGCGAAATAACACGATGTTTCTGAGCACCGACTGCAAGACTCTGCCGTTCCTGAACGACACATTTGACGTAGTCTTCAGCGACAACGTTCTGGAGCACGTTGCTGACTTGAAGATGTTTATCAGTGAGACGTTCCGCGTCTTAAAGCCTGGAGGGCTAGTTCTGTTTTTATGGGACCCTGTATGGACGGGACCCTTTGGCCACCACATACACGAAGACATGGTGCAACGACGAGCTACTAGGATGAATGCTTCATTCAGGTATGTTTCTCACTGCTTTCTTTTCATTGCGTCTTATTGGGCCAAGTTAACAGGTGACAAAACCTGCAGATATGCGAATAATGGATCCTTCATTCCTCCATGGGGGCATCTTTTATTGTCCAAGCAACAACTGAGGACGATCCTAATTGAACAAAACATGGGTCCGCTTCCTCTAATAGACGGTATTCTGGAGTTCATTTACACCCAGAAGAACATCAACAGAGTGCCCCTCAGCGAATTTCGGGAGAAACTTCATTCCTTCAGCTGGGTTCCGCTTGATGAGAGCAACCAATGTCAAGGGATTACAAGAACATGGACCAGCCTGGATGGCACTGAACAAATGGTGCGACCATTGCTGACACAAGACATGCTGCAAGCTCTGAAGGACCAGTATCCTACGGAAGATCAATTTGACATTGGGCCATGCATATTTGCTGCGAGCAAATAGAGCCCCGTTACTGGAAACTTGTTCATCGGTGCACGGACTCCTGAGGAATTGCATCAGGACACACTTGATCCCACAGGTATGGGAACTTGAGAACAGCCTGCCTATGTGGAAGATCCCATGAGTTGTAGGCATATCTGCAAAAGCACGAAATGCATGTAGTATCACAGAAGAACTTTGTACTCAACACAGACATAATTGCTTCCTCAACTTACACATGGATTGGAGGTTCAGATGTGATGACTAGAAGCTGCAGCAAGTTGCAGGACTCTGAGCCACATTCAGGAGCGCTGTTCAAGATCTGCAGCACACATAGTCAGGAATAAACCTTGGAGTGATTCACAGATGGGCGTTTATAGAACCTATAAACAAAACAGGGAGCAAATACCTGATGGACTTGATTAGAAGGCACTATGAAAGTCATGTTCGAACTGATGGGTCTAGAAACAGGGAGACCTGGTATGCTTTGCTCCTTTTTGCTTTCTGGTGCCTGCATTGTGTCTTGTGCATCAAGATCAGGGACATTTGGGGCAAACAGCAGCTTCCCTGTACCATTGAGGACTACGAACAGCTCCTCACATCCATGTCTGTGAATGGGAGTTCCACTTCCAGGAGCAAAGGTCTGCATCCATACTTCTACCTGATAACAAATCACAGAAGTTTTCATTAATATACCCGTGATGCCTAAAACCAAGGGATGCGAGCCTAACCAGTTACATGCTTACCTCTTGCGTGCCATGGTGAACATGGCCCGCAATTGTAGCGTGAGACAGCCCAGGGCGGCCAAAGTTTGACAACGGGATTGAATCAATGCTTCTTACAAAAGAAAGGCCTGGAAAACAGAACAGGGACACAGACACAACGGCATGGTGTGTAACTACAATCAAAATGGGTGCTCAGGATTGTGTTGGGCAGACAACCCACGGAAGTACACACGCACCTCACCTGCATGACTGCAGTTTGCGAGCTCAGGCTTTGCTGAGCCCACGATTACTAGTGCATATGCAACACTGAAGATAGCACAGTGAAGTGAAAGCATGATGCCTCTACGAGGCATTCTGACGATGTCACCCAACATCCCCGAGCAAAGCATTTCATGGACACAACTGTCGTCCGTATGGAGCAGTGAGGGAAGTCTAAAGCAGCTACTAAACCTACAGCCACGGAAACGAAATCACTAATTCTGTGCACCCTACTGTGCCAATCTGACTAAACCCTGTGGTCCGAGGAAAGCGTTCGGCCAGACGCCAACGACGCCGCTTCAGCCGCTGCTTTCGCCTCCGCTCTCTGCTTCTCCACTTTCTGCTTCTCCAGATACAGCGATCCCAGCACACCCACGAACGCCACCGTCCCGACCAGCGCAACCGCCGCGTTCGGCTTCACGAAGAGCTCGGGGTTCAGCACGCGAAATAGCCGAGTGGATCGCGGGCCCGGGAGAGGATTCTTTGGACCTGCAGGGCCTGCGGCTTCACTGGAAAAGAACGCTGCGGAAGACGTCGTGCCACCCGCACTGATACCCGCGTGACCTGGTGAACTAACTGTATTGAAAATGGTTTCCCGGACAGCCCTGGAAACAGGGAAGCGAGTGGACATGGCAGTAGACAACCTGCAAGAACGAGCGGTAAGAAATGCCTGCCTAGTACTCTCTAGGAAGAAACAAAGAAGCGACGCAAAATTGGCTTGGCACAACTACCAGCAGGTATATGCCTGAAAATGTTCCAAAATCGCCCCCAACTTTTTTGTTTCCCTTCAACCCCCTGAACCGAAGTGCCTCACGGTCATGTTCGTCCGGTACGTTGCGGTCCAAAGCGGTTGGTTCTAAAGACCTCTTTTAACCGTCTGGTAAATGCCTGAATCGTACTGAAAACACTGCAGGCCAGCTCCCTGCACGCCAGCCCACCCACAAGGCAAAAGCGGCATTTTATCTCGGCCTAGGCCGTATCGCTTAATTATTCGCTTTAGCACTAGGAATCAGAACAACGACGCAGGCAAAGCCCCACTCTGCAAAGTCGCTTCTTCTCCCATTATTCGCCTCCGTTTCCTCCTGTCAGTGCTTTGCGCAAAACAATGGATGTTTCCACTCTGCTCCCCCATGCACGTTCTTAGAGGCAAACTCCCTTGTCCGTTCATAATCCTTACCATCCAGTTCACACCTTTTGATATCCGGATCCTTCCCGCCTCCTCTCGTCAAGTTTCCACTAACTCGTTTTGTCATCTGCAAGCGTCGTTTCCCCGCTTGTTCCCCGTTCTATTATTACTATTATTATATATATTGTTAAAACTACTTCATTTTCGGCACAAAAAGCGGACGACAACTCCGTGCGAATGGCAGCGACCACGCAAAAAACCTCGACACAATGTGACGCTGCGGACGTTGTTAACGAGGGCAACATCAAGGTTTCAGAACCTGGAGCTTGCGATTTTCCCTCTAGTAATACGACGTCGGAACCTGGGCCCGCCAGCAGCTTGCTGCAGCGGTTTTCCACCAAGATGCGGAGCAAAGTGACAGGCATGGGTGGTATGATCAGGGAGCGTGGGAATGAGCGAAACAGCGGAGACGGCCAGCGGAAAAAGAAAGGAATTGCTGACGTGGCAGCTGTAGCAGAAGGAGCAGAAGGTGGAAGGGGAGGGTCCCCAGAAAATGCAGCAGTGGAAGTATCAGAAGGAGCAGCAGGTGCAGGGGGAAGAGGAGCGGGAGAAGGAACGGAATGTGGTGGAGGAGAAGGAAAGGCCGAAGGGGAAGTTGCTACATTGCAAAAAAATACTATCTCAGGTGCTGTTCCTGATTCGCTTTCAGGCGCTGACGTGGCACGTTCGGCCGTTCCCTCACCCCAGTTCGATCCCCGAGCCAGAGCTCGCTTTGTCCGCCTCTTCCGCTTCCACCACTGGCTCTCCAGCCAATCACAACCCTCGGGCGAAGCCCCCGTGCTGACCGAGCAACCCAGCCAACCGTCCTCCTCAGAGCTTGAATCACGACTGCAGCTGCAGCAGTCACTGCTTGAAGCGCCTCACATATCGCCCTCAGATTCGAATTCATGCCAGCAACCAGCAAAGGGACTTTCGCTTTATGCACCTGTTGCTCCTGAAGGCATGTCAGAGCTTGTGATTATAACGAAGCAACCTCAGGCTTCAGCTCTCATGCCTTCGTTTGAGCAATTCCCCCATGGTGCCTACGCATCCCCATCACCTGCGCAGTCCAGCACGCAAAGCGGAGGAATAGCATATATTCCTTATAACGGAGCGCTGCCCTCTCCAGTTGCTTATAGCGGATCATTTCGCATTCCACCCAGTGCCCTGCTTCCTTATGCCCGTGGAGGGCCGTTAATATCCTCCCCTACCAGATACACTTCCTCTCCTCCTCCTGGTGTTACCGTTGGTAACCTCTCTACACCTGCCTCTGTCTCTGCCGTTGCTTCTGCCACTCCTTGTGCATCGTCATATGATGCTTCCTCTGGAAGAGACTCGTTAAAAGAGTTACTGAATCAGGGGAAGATGCGCAGGCAAGATGCGTTGGATTTGCTACGAATGTACCATGAAGCTGCAGCAGCTCCAGGCCCCTGGGAGAATGAGCCCTTGCCTGCAGAACTGAGTGTTTTAGGTGCTGAGAGTGATGGAGGGGGTGTTGTGGGTGTTTATTCGGATGACGGGAGTGGTGGGGTGTTGGAGCAGGAGATTGCGAAGGAGAATAAGGAGGGGAAGGGGGACGCATTAGTGGTCGCAGGTAGGGAGCGGAATTGGGACAAGGAAGAGGAGCAGAAGGACGGGAATGCGTACAGGGAGATGAATGAGGAGACGGAGGAGGATGGGCTGGAAATTGCGGATGATTGGTCGGATGGGGCGTTGGAGGAGGAATTGCAGGAGCTTCAGCTTGTGGCCGATCTACACTACCTACTACAGCAGCAGCAGCAGCAGCAGCAGCAGCAACTGGAACAGCTACTGGAACAGCAACAGCAGCAGCAGCAGCAGCATGCACGCAGCGAAAGCAGGGCCAACAATGACAACGGCAACGAGCTTTTGGTCACTGTTTCAGAGACAGCTTCTGTGGGTGGGGGATATGGGAAGACGGGTTTTCAGGAGCCGTTACGGCCAGCCTTCTATGATGCAGCGGAGGATGGAGAGGTTGGATACACGGAGCAGTTCGCTCAACTGAGGGTACATGCCGCTGCCAGCGTTAGCCGTGCTGCCAGTGTTGCCAGTGCTGCTACCTCTGCTCGTGCTGGCCGTGTCGCTAGTGCTGCTCGTACAACCAGCATTGCTCGTGTTGGCAGCGCCGCCAGTGCTGCCAGAATGCGGCCTGTGCTGCCTGCGGCAGCAGAGGATGGCGCTGGGTCTACAAAACAGCCTGTTCCATTACAATATCATTCTTCTGGTGGTGCTGCCAGTGCTGACACTGCTACTGCTGCCACTGCTTCCAATGCTGCCAGCGCAGTCAGCGTGAGGCCTGTGCTGCCAGCCTTATACGACGCAGCCGAGGACGGAGTTGGGTTCACGGAGCAGTTCGCTCAAATGAGAATGAAAGCGAAGGGACGACGGGAAGAGGAGCTCTCTAGTATTGCCACTGCTGTCACTTCTTCCTCTGCTTCCTCTGCTGCCACTGCTGCCACTGCTGCCACTTCTTCTACTGCTGCCACTGGTTTCAACGCTGCCAGCGCTGTCAGCGTGAGGCCTGTGCTGCCAGCCTTGTACAACGCAGCAGAGGACGGGATTGGGTTTACGGAACAGTTCGCTCGAATGAAAGTGAAAGTGAAAGGGAGGCGGGAGGAGGAGTTTTGAGTGAACTCAAAAGTCGACTCGAAAGTCTGCGTGAGGCCTGTGCTGCCGGCCCGGTACGTTGCGCAGAGGACGGGATTGGGTTCATAGAACAGGTTGCTCAGATGAGATTAAATAAGAGGGGGAGGCGGGAGGAGAAAGATTCATTCTGAATTTACTCAGAAGCCTCCTTGGCTGATTGTGAAGTGGAGGCAGGAGCAGGAGGGAGTGGCGCGGCTTGGGGCGCCTCGAAAAGAGATGAGATCATTTTCTTGAGTCATGTGGGTGAGGAAAACCAGTACGGTTCGAAACAGGAAAGACAGTATGGTGAGAGATAGGATAGGGGGATAAATGGGGAGGGCAAGTGGTAGACCAAAGAAAGCAAGACGAAATTGCGAGGCGCAATTTGGGGAGGGACGCAGAAGGGAGGCGATGGTCCGGTAGCTAGGGTCGGGAGCAGAGAGGTACCTGCCAAGGCTGACTGTTTGTAGATCGACAAGAGAGGCACCATGTTGCTTTACGGTATGATGCTGGTGAAAATTATGTGAAAGTTGTAGGGAGTAGAGAAATGTTTGGTTGTACAGTGCAACAGGTGTATAAGTGTGCTTGTATACTCTTAGTGCGTGGATGATTGATTGATTTTGCTTTAGCCAGAATACGCCTTCATTCAAATCAAATGTGCTGCTTGTTAGACTATTTCACACAGCCCATAATAAACATGTGGTCACATTTTTTGTCCTGTATCAGCAATTCATCCAGTGTCACTACAGTGAATATGGGAACTCCTGAATTTTAGGAAGACAAACTGTATCGGGTCTGTCGCTTCGCTCGAGTCTTGCACGTCACACTCACAGGTGGTCGCCATTGTCGTCGTCGTCAGTCTAGCTGACGGCTGCTCTTGCTCGCCGTCGCACGAACGGGAGCTCTTGACCCTGGTTACACAGCCCTGTGAGACTGATGACATTCGCGAAACGGTGAGCCAATCGGGCTCCTCCCTGGTTCTCAGCTTTATTCGAGGTTTTGCCAAGGTTCCGTATTTCCTGCAAAGAAAGTGCACATCAAGACAAGCACAGTCCTCCCTCCACCTCATCAACATTCCACGTCAGCAACTTGTGGCATTTAGGTAAACACTTACGGTTACAAGCCCCTCTGCACGAAAGTATTTAGGTAAGAGTTTCTCAGTAAGCCCATTCGCACAAGGGCTGGATCACTATTGCGAGGGAACGACCAACTCTTTTGACCTCGCCCATTTCCCGCGCAAATGCCCTTTAGACGAGTCGCACCATCAACATTGGGTGGGAGACGGGAGAACAAACGAACAAGGAGTTGCTTGATCGAAACATCGAGCCGCGCATTTCTCCCCACTCCCAACCAGCACCCAACCCCAAGCCCACCAAACTCAACCGTGGCGCAAAGCCTCTGCATTTGCGCACTGTGCTCACGCACGGGCAGACTACCACACGCCACGACGGCCTGGTGCGGGCAGCCGAAAGTCCAGCAGTCCCCTTTGACGACTGCCCAGCAAATTGTATTTTCCTGGCGATTCGCGTGTGCGGAGAGGTTCGCGTCGAAGCAACACCCTCCTATCACGGGGCGGGGGGCAGCTGAAGCGGAAACCACAATTTACGCCAGGGCGAAGCGAGGCGAGGCGATTGAATTTCGCGAACGCCGAAGCGACCACGGGGAGGGCGATCGACGCGAACACCTGGCGCCGTCAAACATCAAAATCCGCATCTCGATTTCGAAATGTCCGCCTGTCCGTCAGCATCATATTAGTCCCCCCTCACCACAGTCGACTCCCACAATTCCCACGCGCTGTCCCTCTCCCCTGAACTTCGCACTTAGCTTGTCTTCTTGCCCACCACCGCTTGTCAACTACAATCGCTATCCATTGACGTAAAGGAGCCGCGCATTGCAGTATCCTCGTTCCCATTCGCATCTCCCTATTACCGTATTCCATTCACGTAGCACGAATACCACACTCTCATGTTCAACCTTCATCGACGCAGTCCTTTGTGTTAACGAGCTAGCTCCTCACCTCGAAGGATTTGCTCGACTTTGGTAGCCCTATCCGCACCAGTGCTAGTATCAGCAACTAATAATCAGAAATTATGGGGAAAGGTGGTTCTCTCCCTCCTGCACTGATCGCACAGCCCAAGAGCTACTCGGGTCTTTCGACGCTCGAAATTGAGCCAGACACAACAGCCGAGCGACCCCGGATACTCGGGATTCTCTCCAGCATCCTCGACCACGTGGTGTCGCGTAACGAGGCGAAACAGGCGAAATCCGGTAACCGCAAGTTGACGGTTTTTCACGGGCTTCGCGCGCCGGCAATCACCGTGGAAAAGTACCTGGAGCGGATATTTAAGTACGCGAACTGCAGTCCGGCGTGTTTTGTCGTGGCGTATGCGTACATCGACCGAATCCTGCAAGAGCATGACGACATGGTGATCACGTCGCTGAATGTGCATCGCCTGCTCATCACCTGCATCATGGTCGCCGCGAAGTTTCTCGATGACTCGTAAGTGGTAACCATCCTCGTGAACGAGTTTATTTCGTGCAAGCTCCGTCATTCCGTTTTTGTTCTTGCCCCCTAGAATATTCAGCCTCCGCGTATGGTGCTTATGTCGCTGTGCTTCGCTAAAGCATTTTCTTTCTCCACATTCTTTACACTCTCCTCGTACAGGTACTTCAATAACGCGTACTACGCTAAGGTCGGAGGCGTTACAACAGCCGAGATGAACCGTCTGGAGATGGAGCTTCTATTCCGCATGGATTTCCGCTTGAACATTACAACGGACGTCTTTTACGCGTACTGCAAGCGGCTTGAAGCGGAGATTTGGAATTCGCGCCCACCCTTCGAGGCCACGATGGACGTCAACTCGTTATCCATGCTGAAGCCGCCCGGCCACCTGGCACGCGTGCAGCCATGCCACGTGGAGGTGCAAAAAGGCGTTCGGACACCCCCGCGAGAGGTGGAATCGTACCGGTATCCGTCGATGCGGGCGAGAACGCTCGTGAACGGGTCTCCTTGACGGTCGGCGTTAACGTTTTGACAGAACTGATATCGCTGACGGATGATGGCAGGCGGCGGCACACAGGGATGGGCGCATCAAGTGATTGCGCTCGCCCATACATATACGATCTTGACAAGATACACTTGCTCACTTACTGTAGTCGAGTGCACTAATGCGTAGATTCTTTAGACTTGTAGATGTGTAGGAATCCTCGTAAGGGGAAAGGAGGCTGTTGATGTTAGATATCCTGAAGCTGGGGGAAAGCATGTGATGTAACGTCGCATCATTTTCCGGGCCATTCAGACAAGGGAGCACAGCATATCCGATTGGGATGCTTGCTATGTGCTGTTGAAGAACGAAAGGGTTGGAGGAGATAAGGCAACATCACGCGGCGTAGCCATGTTACACATAGTAGGGCCTCGAAAGGCTCTAATTCGGAGAGGCTCTCTCTCCTTGTGCTATATTTTCCCTTGGTTTGCGTAGACTATTATTTGAATTCCGAATAAAGCCTTTATTACCATAAGTATCTCATAATAATTTCAAGATTCATGCACGAATGCTTTCGTTCACTCCAGTTGCAAACTTAGCCATCACTCATACAAACGTCCGTGGTAGCCACTCTCAAGGATTAGTCTGACAGAAAATGAACAATTTCGGCTCTGGCTTCATCTCAGAAACTATTTTGTTTCCTTTCCCTTCCACTCGTTGAACCCGGTTACATTGATTTCACTCTGCTTAATATCTTTCATGTAAAGGTGAACATGGATTCTATGACTTGTGCTTTCTTATCACCTTGTTTGTATTGGATTGTGTACACTACAGTTATGCAGCAGCACTGGCTTGTGCTTGGGCTGTCGCTGTATGGAAAGTGACACATCAGCGTCGACGCGCAAACTTTTGGTCCTGCCTGTCGTTTTCGCCAACGGCGGGCAAATGCTTCGCGGGCCTTTTCACACCACGTCCTCACACTTGCGTGTCCGTTGGCACAATTTGCTCCCCTGATTTCTGGCGCAAAGGTCATCCCTTTCGCCGTCATCGTTAGAATTGAGCTGTAGTCGCTGATCAGCTCCTTCTATCGCAGGCTGTGCTCTAAAGGAGGGGAATGCGACTCGATTCGGGGTTGGGCGACGGCGAAACGCACGGTTCCTGCCACGTAGGCATGAAATGTTCCCCGAATGTGTACGACGGAAGTCACTGCGTTTCATCATCGAGACGCTGAGGCGTGAAATGGATGGCTGGCGAACCCAACGGCACCCTGTTCAGGGTGCGCAGGCAACAGCAGGCCACGTTCCAGCCATGTCGCAGGCCAGCCGTTGCTGGGAAACCCGAAAACATCCCCCCAAATGCGAGTCGCCCACAGGGAGGGGTACAAATGTCTGCCAGCCTGTCAGTTCTTCTCTTTCCTTTCCAGCATCTGAAAGTAAGGAAGGGTAGGCGCTGTGGGACCAGGAGACCGAGGCCATCCAATCCGAGGTAGCTGTGTCAAAGCGACCAACCTGTGGTCGAGGCAGAGATTTTCGAAAGTGGGCACTGGCGGGTCGATTGACGGCAGCGCTTCGATCTCATCGCATCACACGCATGCGCCTCGTCTCATTTCACAAATTACTGTAATGTTGTCGCTGCGAGTTTCGATTCTCTTAGTACCCCTCCCGCTTCCCTTCCGACCAATCAGCCATCCATCATCGTGCACCCCCCCCCCGTTTCATCTCATCTTCCTCCTAACACCACGAGACACGCTGTTTATGAAGCCTCCAGCTCTGACGCAAATCGGCCAATCAAACATCCAAACCCGTTTCATCTCTCCTCGTTTGACACCTCGATTTTCCAATCTCCAAAAGATCGTAATTCCCTGCTAAGTTCTAGACCGTCGATCCCAAATCGTTCCATCCGATGCATTCCACGTGGAAGGCGGTCGCCCTCGTCTATTCCCAATGTCAGACAGAGAGTTGTCGAGAGAGAGGCAGACTGTCCGCCAGGCGAGCCAGAGAATCAGAGCCCGAGAAGGAGAGAGCCAACTCCAGGGGGCCAGAGACCTGGAGGGGCGAGCCAGACAGGGAAGCGAGCAAGAGGCAGAGATGCTTGCTCGTTGTCGGCCATTATGTGTTCGTCCTCGTTCGCACGAAATAAAAGCTTACCAATCATTCAGCCTAATTCTCATATTTCGCTCAGGTAGGCCTCTCGTTCTGCACTGGTCACCCGAGCCCCACTCTCGTAACCTCTTCCTTTGCCTTATCGCTTGCGACTTCCTTACCTTCTCAGAGACCTCCATCGCGTGGTGTGCGTGTCTTTCATTAGCATTCGTGTGCGAGCTCATATTCCATCCAGCAATCGGCATTCGGTGCTACATTTCCGGCGAACTCGGCCATTCTTTCAATTTTAGTAGTGAATCGAATCCAGACGCATTTTTTCCGCAAAGCAAACAGTCTTAGGTCACAATGGGCAAGGGAGGTTCTCTGTCGTTCAGCGCACAGGCTAAGGCTGCTCCGAGCTGCCTCGATACTCTAGAGATCGATCCGAACTTGCTTTGCGAAAGGCCTCGCGTTCTTTCTGTCCTCGCGGCGATTTACGACCAAATCGTGGAGCGGAACGAGGCCAATCAGGCCAAGGGCGGCGAGGAGAAGCTGACCGTTTTCCACGGGCTGCGCGCTCCGGCTATCGGGGTCGAAAAGTACATGGAGAGGATATTTAAGTACGCGAATTGCAGCCCTGCGTGCTTCGTCCTGGCGTATATCTATGTGGAGAAGATGGTGGAGCGGCATGATGACATGGTGGTGACGTCACTCAATGTGCATCGCCTGCTCATCACATCCGTCATGGTCGCCGCGAAGTTTCTCGATGACTCGTAAGTGGCTCTACGCGAATTTTCTGCTACATTTGGTGGAATAACAAAGAAGAACAGTGGTGCAAACTAATAAGAGCCCAGTATCGTGTTTAGCGATGATTGAAGCACCACTGTTGATTGAACTCCATCTCAGGGCCACACGGCCTAACAATGTGCACCCATGACACCTCGTCTCACCAAGTTTCCTAATTCTTTCCGTTTCATCTCCCTTCAGGTACTTCAACAATGCGTACTACGCCAAAGTCGGCGGAGTCACAACCGCCGAGATGAACCGTCTGGAGATGGAGCTACTGTTCCGCTTGGACTTCCGCATGAACGTTACAACGGAAGCCTTCTACGCGTACTGCAAGAAGCTTGAAGCGGAGCTGTGGCAGTCAGAGGTCGCCTTCGACGCAGCTTCCCTCATTGACATGTCCGCACTCACAATGTTCAAGGGTGCGCAGGGCAATGTGGCTCGTACGCATCCTTACGAGTGTCAAGCAGCGTACGAGAAGGGCGTACGGACACCGCCGCGAGAGGTGGAATCGTACCGATGCCCAGCTATAACGGCTAGGGTGTTGCCTGAGTCACCTTGAGCGTTCGACGGTCCGTCTGGCGAGTTCATCTGACGGTCACTGACACTGACTGTACTAACCCCCGAGCTTGGCTGACGCTTAGCTCGCTTAGCTCTCTTAACCCTGTTTGCTGCGTGTGTTTGTGCTCACTGCGTGAGTTGTCGTTTATTTTGATGATATAGGCAGAGTTTGGTTTAGTTTCCTTCCCCTTCTGCACCTCTCTCATCTCTTGTAAGGCACTTATTCTATTAACATGTGCCTCCGGCACGTTTAGTGATACCACCAAGTTATGCTTCATTTCAAGGTGCTAAGAGTTCTCTCTTCACGGACAGCTTCCTCTCTTCTGAACATGTTGCACAAAATGAAATGAAACTCCCTATAACATCATGATGCGGTGTATTAAGGCAAAAATACATGTACAGTTGTGCATACATGAAATGAAAGGCTCAGTGTTGAGCCTTAGACAATATCATCCTCTAAACATGAAGGTACGCATACATCAGAATGCCAACTGGCCACGAGAAGCTTTATGTTCTGCTAGTACCAGGCTATGCAATGCTTGACGTTTGTGCCTTAGGGCGGTTTCCTCCGGACATGAAAATGTATGTGTAGAAGGCCACCATGAAAATGCTGCAGGGGGGAGAGGCAGCCGCACATCCAAATAAAGGGGAGCAGAATTGGAGTGGAAAAACAAATAACAATAAAAATAAATACCTAGCAGTAAAACGAAGCAAATTTGGAGTGGAGTGGAGATCCAAAATACTGTTTACATCCATGGTCACGTGCGGTAAGTGTGAACACAACAGGAGACATGAGCACCAACATGGTGAAGGTGACACAGAATGCCATACCTTGCCAGTGCAGCCAAGCCAGTTGGGAAAAACGCCTTGGTCTGATAAACGAGCGCATAAATACAGAAAACAGATAACACGATGCGTCGTTATTGGGGCGAGTGATACAAGCAGGCTTGGAATGAAATAACTTCAGATGCATGCGTATGTGAAGTCAACCAGGGCAACAAGACCACGGCTGGACAGAAATAAAAGCATAAAGAGCATACCACAGCGAAGCGAGTTGCTTCATTGACGAACACAAAGCTTGAAATCACTGCAAGGAAAAGAAGAGAAAGAAAGCCACACGAGTGAAAAGACGAACTGGGAGTGAAGTAAGGGGTGAAAGGGCTACGACAGCAGCTAACCAATCAGCTAATCAGTCCTATGTGCGCTGAAAGAGAAAGGCCACACAACAAGCCAAGCTTGAACGTCACCAAATGAAATTTCAACACAATCATGAATTACTCACCTCCTTGGATAGCAATGTACAGTGCAGAAGGACGGTGATTCTGCCACGCATGGAGGCTGGACATGCTACAAGCGAGGATAATACCCCCAATGATCATGCCAAACCTAAGGGCGTTGACGCTCCCTGCCAAAGTGAACCAGGTCACGCCTCCAACCACCAGCACAGCACCTGAAGTCAAACAGGAAGGCAGGTTTAGTCAGAATTGGTCCAAATGACCCATACACGACATGATACGCAGCAGACAGAATTCACCACAATTAAATGACACATGGTCGCTGAAAGTAGGATTGCGACCCACCAAAGGGGATTCCCAGACAGAAGTCATGAATCACCGCTCCTTTCCTCACAGCGTCCTTAGAATGCGATGATACGGCTGTTTCCACAATCTCCCTGATTGGTCCTGGAGCGTCCTTAGCAACTGCAACAATCTGCTCCTTATTCTCCTCCACGTGATGCAGCGCTTCTTCTATCTGATGCGACGCTTTCTCCGCCTGCTCCTTAATCTGCACCTTGGCCTTCTCAGCTTGTACTTTAAGCTGCTCCGCCAAAATCTCGGCCTTATGCTTCACCTCTGCTGCTGCTTGCTGAGTCTGCACCTGAAGCTCTTGCAGCTCGTCGGGGGTTGGAAGCTTAACCTTGTCTTCGATAGCATGAGCAGCGTCTTCTAACACGTGAGAAGCGTCTTCCGTGATTTTCTGGAGGGTCTTGGACGCTTCAGATGCGATTTTCTGGAGCTCCTCCTTGACCTTGTTATCCTGAATGGTGGAGATTTGCTTAGAAACAAAGGTTTGAAGCTCACCCTCTTAATGACGAAATAAAAGGGAAAAAAAATCATCACTCTTTTCCTCTCTCACAATCTACCCGAACAAGTTGGCAGGCACAATGACTTACCTCGGCTACAGCTCGAACGCCGTGCACCTTTCGATGGCGCAGCGTTAGTCCAGCTGAAGAACGGAACGATACTGAATTTCCAGCAAAACTTCCGGTCAAGCTGGTCGATAATCGGCCGACCTGACCGCCTGCCAAAACCCCTGCCCTCAAACAAGCAGCCATGTTGGATATCGTCGCTAGCGGAAGTACTGGGAACAGCGAACGCGTCGCCTACAGCAACAACCACAGAGGCGATGAGGCTTTTCACTACACGATCTTCAGAAACCGTTAGAACTCCCAAGATTCAAGAAGCTAAGCTAGCTACCTGAGATGGTGAAAGAACAAGCTAAGCTTGCGGATTTCACTCGATGAAACAGAATCAGTAGCAGATACACAAGTGAAGCACAAAACAAAGAATCCAGGAGGAAGCACAAAGGTACGCATTTGGTTTCAGAGGTTCATACACTCACGAAGGTGTGCGACCTGTTACTTGGTTTGAGTGCGTCGAACATCTGTCGCCTCTCTTCTAAATGGACCCGCGAAACTTCAGCGAGGTAGAATCAGCTTCGCGAACAGCAGGCCCAGATTTCAGGAAAAGAGGGTCCATGTAAGCAAAAGCGCCTGGTTAGAGGGGACATTTGTGGCTGTCCCTCGTTTCATGAGGCACGCACCTCAGCCGAAGCACTGAAGGGAGCTCCTAGCCTCTTGTGATTGGCAGGTGGACAAGCCGAACCTGGCTTTGACTTCAGTCCATTTGCTAGCGGATTCATTGCTGACGGGATTGGTGGAGTCGACACACCACATTGCATATCTCTGGAAAGTGGGATATGCATACGCGTTGTAAACATTCACCAGCAACAGCAGAAGTTTGGAATTTCAACAAACTAACTACCCAGTCTCTTCCGCCCAATCCGCAACCGGTGTACTTCCTCTTGGTTCTTGTTGACAAAAATCCTCAACTGGTTTCGAATCTCCCGATAATTCTTGCTCTTTAACTTCTTCTTGACCAATTAAAGAATGGTTCGACGCAAGTTCTCGCACGAGAGTTGGCTCCACTGCCATCTGGAGAAAACAGGCAAGCATCAAACAGAAACCACCATAACACAGGCCACAGGGAGAATTGCATGAAGAGCAGTGAAGCCATGGAAAGTTGCAACCCCTTCCCAATCCCCACCCCATTCCCGTCCATCCCTTGCCAACCTTCCCACCACCCCATACAATCACCTGCTTCGCCTGCAGCCGACCAAACTCTGCCTGGAGCTGTCTCAGCGCCACACCATCCGCCTGCATCCTCACCACCTCTCTCATCTCAACCTCCCAATCTCCACCCGACCCCAATTCCCTACGGTCCCTTCCCACTTCCCTCATACAATCACCGGTTTCGCCTGCAGCCGACCAAACTCTGCCTGTAGCTGCCTCAACGCCAAACTATCCGCCTGCATCCTCACCACCTCCTCTGTTTGCAACCGCCCAATCCCCTTATCCCCCTCCCATAACACAGCCAAACCCGTGCCCAACCCCCCATTGACTCACCTGTTTTGCCTGCAGCCGACCAAACTCTGCCTGGAGCTGCTTCAATGTCAAACCATCCGTCTGCATCCTCAACACCTCTGTGCGCAACCGCCCAGATCTCCCTTACCCCCCTCCAAAAACACAGCCGAACCCGCGCCCAAACCCCCACTGGCTCACCTGTTTTGCCCGCAGCCGACCAAACTCTGCCTGGAGCTGTCTCAAGGCCCCACCATCCGCCTGCATCCGCACCACCTCTCCTTTCAGCCTCCCGATCTCCGCCCGATCCTCCTCCCGAGCCGCTTTCACCTGCACCAGATCAGCCTGCGTCTGCTCTAGTGACGTTCGCAGCTGAGCCCGCTCCTGAGCCCACTGCTGCATGGCACTGGTTACCATTGCAAGGCTCTGCTGCACTGTTGCTGCTAAAGCAGCCATGGCACTGACATCGGCTGCTCCTGCTGTTGCTGCTGCTGCTACTGCCTCCTGCTGCTGTTGCAGTTGCTGTTGCTTCTGCTGCTCTTGCTGTTTCTCCTGCTGCTCCTGCTGCTGTTGCTGCTGCTGGTACTGCTCTTGTTGGTGGTACTGATACTGCAGCTGCGGGTGCATCTGTGCTTGCATCGACGCCTGTGCCCACCATTCCTGCTGCTGCTGCGCTTGCTGCTGCTGGTCTTGCTGCTGCTGCTGCTGCGGCTGCTGTTGCTGCTGTGGAGGGTAGCTACCACCACTTTCTGTGCCAGCCATGGGCATAGGCATAGGCATGGGCATGGCCATATTCATGGGCATATTCATGGGCATGGGCATGTGCATGGGCATGTGCATGGGCATGGGCAAGGGCATGGGCATGGAATACGGAAAGGGGTAGCTGCCAGGGGTACCAGGGTATTGGTTGGGGGGATACGCGAGGGCGTAGTATGCCATTGGGGCTGTTGCTGCAGAGATCTGTGCCTCTGGTGTTGCCACTGGTAAGGATGGTGATGCTGGTGCTGCTGGTACTGCTGGTGCTGCTGCTGTTGGGGCCGGTGGTGCTGCTGCTGCTGGTGCTGGTGCTGCTATTGCTGCTGCTGGTGCTGCTGCTGCTGCTGGTGGTGCTGCTGGTGTCATTGCAGGTGCTGCTGCTACCAGCTGGCCTGCTGCTGCTGCTGGTGATGATGATGGGAGCGGTGCTGTTGCTGGTGCTGGCCTTTCCGCTGTTGCTGGCAATACCCCTGTTGCTACAGCTGCTGTTGCTGCAGACGTCACAACTGCTGCTCCTTCTGTCATGGTTGCTGCATCTGTAGCCGCACCTTTCCGCCCAGAGTCCTCCTTTTTCGACCCAGGAACATGTGCAGACTTGGCCGCTCCCTTATCCCTTTTCCCACCACTGGTAGCAGCCCCAGCACTACCCCCATCACTACCACCGTTACTATCACCACCACCACTATCATCACTACCAGTATCGCCACCATCACTATACCCACTGCCACTGCTTTCACTATCGCTATCATCTGCACCTGACGATGCAGGTGGTGCTGCTGGTGGGGATGCTGCTGCCGGTGCTGCTGATACTGCTGCTGATACTGCTGCTCCTGATGATGCTGCTACTGCTGGTATTGCTGATGTGGTTGAAACGTTAGGCAGCTTCGGGTCCTTGTCCGTACCAGAACTCCCACTCCCACTATAAGGTTGCAGCCAGGCACGGATGGCCGCCGAAGCTGGTGCCGAGCCTGTTTTTGGGCGAGGCTTGGGGATGATCAAGTCATCGGGCTTGCCTGTAGCTGTAGGCTTCTCACCACCTACCTTCTTGGATCCTTCCTTTCCAAGCGAATCCCTGGCAGAAGAAGATGTAACCAGGGCAGATGTAACCCAAGGAACAGCAGGACCGTTGACTTTGGTTGACCCACCAGAGCTGGGACCAGATGAAACCCATGGCACAGAAGATGCGTTGACTTTAGTTGAATGCGCAGGACCGGGAACAGATGAAACCCAGGGGTCACGGGCTGGAGTTTTCCCTCCTGTTTTAGGCCCAACCCATGGCCCAGGCCCGTGTCCAGGTCCGGGGCCAGGTCCGGGGCCAGGTCCGGGGCGGGGTCCGGCACCAAACCCTGGGCCATTTTGAGGTCCGGGTTTGGAGGGAGGCTCGGAATTGGACCAAGATCCGGGCCCGGGTCGAGGTTCGGGGCGGTTCCAAGCTCCAGATTTGGATGGAGGTCCGGAATTGGATGTGTAATTAGGTCCGGATGGCTTGGAAGGACCGGCATGAGGTCCGGAATGAGGTCCAGGAGGGGGAGCGGAAGAATGCCAGGGTGGTTGGGAGGATGAAGCGGCAGAGGAGGAGGAATTGGAGGAGGAGGAAGAGGAGGGGCGGGGGAGGGGTTTGTGTGGCGAAGCAGTGGCAGGAGGAAGAATATTCAGAGGAGGATGAGAGGGATGAGAGGGATGAGAGGGAAGAGAGGGAAATGCAGTCGGCGGCTGAGTGAGAGCGGGTTTTTGAGCCGAACCAAACGACGCGCTAGGGCGGGGGGGAGCAGCGGCAGGGGTGCGCTTGCAGTAGAGTGCGAGGAGCTTCTGGGTCTGCTGGTGGTCTAATTCGAAAAAGAAGTGCGTGGGAGAGTAATAATTGAGGGCCGGGCCGTAGGCGGTCTCGGGGAGAGGCGAGCACCTGTGGCGCAGACGGACTTTCACCTGAGAGGGAGGGGGAGGGAGGAGGAGCAGGGGGAGGGGAGGGGGGAGGGAGAGGGGGAGAAAGAAGGGTGAGTGTGAGCGGGTGTGTGAACCGAGTCAGAGGGCATGCTAGGGTGGGAGGGAGCAGCGGCAGGGGTATGCTTGCAGTAGAGAGCGAGGAGCTTCTGGGTCTGCTGGTGGTCTAATTCGAAAAAGAAGTGCGTGGGAGAGTAGTAGCTGGCTGATAGGGCCGGGCCGTAGGCGGTCTCGGGGAGAGGCGAGCACCTGTGGCGCAGACGAACCTTCACCTGGTGGGAAGGGAAGCGGGGAAAAGAGGAGGGAAAAGGAAACAAAAGACGAAAGGCAGAAAGGAGGAGAAAACGGCGCAAGACACGAGGGAGGAAAGGCAGGTGGGTCTGGTGGTCTAACTCGAAAAAGAAGTGCGTGGGAGAGTAGTAGCTGGTTGATAGGGCCGGACCGTAGGCGGTCTCGGGTAGAGGGGAACACCTGTGGCGCAGACGAACCTTCACCTGGGGGGGGGGGGGGGGGGGGAGGAGGGGAAAGGGGGGGTGGGGGAAGGGGGGAGGGGTAAGGGGGAAGGGGAGGAGGGGGGGAGTGAAGTGAAGGAGGTCTCGGGAAGAGGGGAACACCTGTGGCGCATACGAACCTTCACCTGGGGGGGGAGAGGGGGAGGGGGAAGGGGGGAAGGGGGAGAGTGAAGGAGGTCTCGGGGAGAGGCGAGCACCTGTGGCGCAGACGAACCTTCACCTGAGAGGAAGAGGGGGGGGGGTGGTGTAGGGGGAGGAGGGTAGGGGAGAGGGAAGGAGCTTCTGGGTCTGCTGGTGGTCTGATTCGAACATCCAGTGGAGGCATGCATGCCGGGCCGGGAGAGAGAGAGGCATGCCGGGAGAGAGAAATCGAGGTTCAAATTCGTTGGGTTCGAAACGCAGCAAGCCTGCTAAGAGTAACAATCGAAGAGAGAGAGGCATGCCGGGAGAGAGAAATCGAGGTTGAAATTCGTTGGGTTCGAAACGCAGCAAGCCTGCTAAGAGTAACAATCTAAGAGAGAGAGGCACGCCGGGAGAGAGAAATCGAGGTTGAAATTCGTTGGGTTCGAAACGCAGCAAGCCTGCTAAGAGTAACAATCTAAGAGAGAGAGGCACGCCGGGAGAGAGAAATCGAGGTTGAAATTCGTTGGGTTCGAAACGCAGCAAGCCTGCTAAGAGTAACAATCTAAGAGAGAGAGGCACGCCGGGAGAGAGAAATCGAGGTTGAAATTCGTTGGGTTCGAAACGCAGCAAGCCTGCTAAGAGTAACAATCTAAGAGTGAGAGGCACGCCGGGAGAGAGAAATCGAGGTTGAAATTCGTTGGGTTCGAAACGCAGCAAGCCTGCTAAGAGTAACAATCTAAGAGAGAGAGGCATGCCGGGAGAGAGAAATCGAGGTTGAAATTCGTTGGGTTCGAAACGCAGCAAGCCTGCTAAGAGTAACAATCTAAGAGAGAGAGGCACGCCGGGAGAGAGAAATCGAGGTTGAAATTCGTTGGGTTCGAAACGCAGCAAGCCTGCTAAGAGTAACAATCTAAGAGAGAGAGGCATGCCGGGAGAGAGAAATCGAGGTTGAAATTCGTTGGGTTCGAAACGCAGCAAGCCTGCTAAGAGTAACAATCTAAGAGAGAGAGGCACGCCGGGAGAGAGAAATCGAGGTTGAAATTCGTTGGGTTCGAAACGCAGCAGGCCTGCTAAGAGTAACAATCTAAGAGAGAGAGGCATGCCGGGAGAGAGAAATCGAGGTTGAGATTCGTTGGGTTCGAAACGCAGCAAGCCTGCTAAGAGTAACAATCTAAGAGAGAGAGGCACGCCGGGAGAGAGAAATCGAGGTGACGCAGCGAGCCTGCTAAGAGTAACAATCTAAGAGAGAGAGGCATGCCGGGAGAGAGAAATCGAGGTTGAAATTCGTTGGGTTCGAAACGCAGCAAGCCTGCTAAGAGTAACAATCTAAGAGAGAGAGGCATGCCGGGAGAGAGAAATCGAGGTTCAAATTCGTTGGGTTCGAAACGCAGCAAGCCTGCTAAGAGTAACAATCTAAGAGAGAGAGGCATGCCGGGAGAGAGAAATCGAGGTTGAAATTCGTTGGGTTCGAAACGCAGCAAGCCTGCTAAGAGTAACAATCTAAGAGAGAGAGGCACGCCGGGAGAGAGAAATCGAGGTTGAAATTCGTTGGGTTCGAAACGCAGCAAGCCTGCTAAGAGTAACAATCTAAGAGAGAGAGGCATGCCGGGAGAGAGAAATCGAGGTTGAAATTCGTTGGGTTCGAAACGCAGCAAGCCTGCTAAGAGTAACAATCTAAGAGAGAGAGGCATGCCGGGAGAGAGAAATCGAGGTTGAAATTCGTTGGGTTCGAAACGCAGCAAGCCTGCTAAGAGTAACAATCTAAGAGAGAGAGGCACGCCGGGAGAGAGAAATCGAGGTTGAAATTCGTTGGGTTCGAAACGCAGCAAGCCTGCTAAGAGTAACAATCTAAGAGAGAGAGGCACGCCGGGAGAGAGAAATCGAGGTTGAAATTCGTTGGGTTCGAAACGCAGCAGGCCTGCTAAGAGTAACAATCTAAGAGAGAGAGGCATGCCGGGAGAGAGAAATCGAGGTTGAGATTCGTTGGGTTCGAAACGCAGCAAGCCTGCTAAGAGTAACAATCTAAGAGAGAGAGGCACGCCGGGAGAGAGAAATCGAGGCACCGGGGAAGAGAGGGGGACGGACCCTGGGGGAGACAGCAGGGAAGAGAGGCGGAGCCCATGGCGGGCCACCAGAGGAGAGAGACCAGGAGAGAGCAAGATGGGTACCTGGGCGGGGAATCTGGTCTGGCCGCCATTCTTGCCCGTCCAGCCATGAGGGTCGATCTCCAAATCTCCGTGGCTCACTGCCTCAAAGATCCCGTGTAAGCGGCGGTCCGAGTAGTTGAAGAGGAAGAGAGGCATGCCGGGAGCGATGTTCTGAACGTACTCCATGTGATTGTAGGGCAGGCCTGGTATGGCAGGGGGGAGTGTGGGGAAGGAGGAGAGGGAAGATGTCATGAGGTGCGATGAGGTGTTATAAGGGGTCTGAGTAAAGAGAGGCATGCCGGGTTTGATGTTCTGAACGTAATCCATGTGGTGGTAGGGCAGGACTGGGAGGGGAGCGAGGGAAATGGCAGGGCAGTGGGGAAGAGAGAGGATGGGAGCTCTTTGAATCAATTCAAGAGGAAAGAGGCATGCCGGGAGCGATGTTCTGAACGTAATCCATGTGGTTGTAAGGCAGGCCTGGAAGGACAGCGAGAAGAGAGAGAGAGCAAAAAGATTACGTGACCTTTCTGCATTGATTCAAGAAAAATGGGCATGACGCAACTGATGTTCTGGACGTACTCCTGGCGGCTGTAAGGCAGTCTGATAGCAGAATTAGGAGGTAATCTGAATAAACGGTTGACAGGACTTTAGGGTTATGCTCTTCATAACCTCGTTTGACTGTTGAACGTCTAGAACTCGCTATAAGAACGCTCACCAAATAGCTCTTTTGTGACACATTCCGAGAAAGTCTCCTTGGTGCATCCGAACACGCAACCCCCCAGCTGCTCCCGCGGCAACAGGCGGAACTGCACGCGCTGGCGCGACGATTCTCCCCCTCCTCTTTGGTTTGCCGTGTCATACTGATAAGTCGTGGTCTTTCGGCCAGCACCCATCTTCCTGTGCTCAGCTTCTAAGGTCGCATGCAATTGTGTAATTTAGAGGAAAAGCCGATACGAGTCTTGCTAAATTACAATATGTTCCTGAGTCCAATCTCTTGATCCGGCTCCTTGAGAAACGTGTTATCCCTGACAAACATAAACACTACCTGAACCTGTCGTTCAATCGAGATAAGAGTCCTAGATTCGTGGAAACCAAATGCCAAAGCTTCTTTCTCGGGAACGTCAAGCTGACTGCAGACGACACTCCATGACAAATAAAAAAATAATCGAGAGATGTAAAATCTACAAGAATGTCCACATATTTGCTTGAATTTGTGAATGCGGCTGCAGCCTGGTGTTAAAACTCTTAAAAAATGGCTTCGTTCCTGGCGAGGCTGGTACGTGATGGAATCACGGAATCGCTGGTAATACCCAGATTCTATACGCGCTAAGTCAGTGAGCGATCATAAAAATACTAGCGACCACGCGAGTGATAATGTTAGAAGGTTCTTCCAGGCATAGTGATGTGACTAGGTTTCAAGAAGTGGGTGAAGAACAAAGCATCAAGGATGGAAAGACAGCACAAGAGGAGAAATCCTGTAAAGAGTACCAGCCAGAATTGCTTCATGTTGTGAAAGACCTTGTCCATGTGCTTTACAAATACTAGGACACCTCCATTTCACATGGGTGGATATCAGAAGCATGCTACCTGCCTAGGTTGTTCAAAGCTCCACCTACTTTTCAAGGCATCCCATGAGCATTCTAAAGTGACGATAAGGACAAACAAATGACAGTTAATAATGGGCATGAATGAACCATGATGCTAATCCTGTTGCTAAGAACAGTCATCCTTTCCTTTGGTCAAAGAGGAGATGAAGTACACTGCCATGGGAAAGATGCAAGAGAACCTCCACAAACCAGGACACACAACCTGATCCAACCTAGCCCTGCATTTCCCTCCGACCAAAATAAAAGAGTGTCCATGACTTGCAGGTGGTTCCCATCCCCTGCACTTAACATCTCCTTCCCCAACTCCAAACTCTACACAGTTTTTCCAAGCCAAAAAGGACTCGACTTGGACTACCGGACTTCCTCCACCCATCCAACCCAACATTGCCACCAGACATTCCAGCCCATGCCTCCCAGAACCACGAGGATATGCCCCATATCTGGCTCTCGGACTGATTAGTGCACTAAGCCAGCAATGCAACTGACTTTGCACCCAAACACTCCAGTCCCTTCACCCTTCGACACACCCCATCCCCCCAAACCTCTCAATCCCGGTTCTTGCTTCCCCCCTCTCCTTTCCACACTGCTACCATATCCCAAATTACCTTCAAGTGTTTATTCCTGGTTCCGCGACTTCATCTAGCTGTTGCTGACCACCTCTGGATGGTAGTACAGCATCTCTTGCCATACCTTTTCACGCAACGCGGCCTCCTTCAGATCCTCATCCTCAAAGTCGAACTCAAACGGCGCCGGAGCAGACGGCTCCACAGCAGGATCATGAAGCATGGACAGGTACGGATGCTCCAAAGCCTCTTCCACAGTGATACGCTTGTTCGGGTCGAACACAAGCATCCGCTCAATCAAGTTGATGGCCAGAGGGTTGGCCCTGGGGTAGAGGCGAGAGAGCGAGACTCTGGGTGTGTACGGCAACGAACGGATGTAGCTGCGAGCTTTTTGGCTGGAAATGAAATGAAGGTCGTCTTCGTCAGGCGAACCAATCAGGTTGATGATCAGCTTCAGCTGATGGATGTAATCCTTTCCAGGGAAAAGCGGCTTCCGTCCCAGAAGCTCAGCGAAGATGCAGCCAACGGACCACATGTCAATGGCGAAGGTGTACTCGTCGCAGGAAAGCAGCAGCTCGGGAGCACGGTACCACCGAGTCACGACATACTCTGTCATGAAACCCTTCTCGCTTCCCGTGCGAGCGAGACCGAAATCACAGATCTTGAGGTCGCAACTGGCATTGAGGAGGAGGTTGCTGGGCTTGAGATCTCGATGCAGCACATTGGCCGTATGGACATACTTGAGACCGCGGAGAAGCTGGAAAATAACACGCAAGTACGGGGATTGTAATTAGGAGTTCATTATGTTCCGACATGTATATAACTATATGCGGAATGGAGTTGTAAATCAAAGCTTTTTAATGTTGCCAGATCCTGAAGTTCGAATCTCAAATAGCAAAAAACAACAATGAACCAGGCAGCCTGACAGAATTGAATATTAAATAAGCTATATTGAACTTGAAATGGAACAAATTGTAAAGAACAAACAGTTACCTGATAGATAAAGTACTGGCAGTGGTCGTCTGTCAGAGCCTGGGACGACCGGATGATTTGGTGAAGGTCTGTATCCATGAGCTCATACACGACGTACACGTCATTGAATGTGAACCTGTCCGGAGGAGGCATAATGTCCTTCACTGCGATAATGTTCTCATGGTACAGATGCCGAAGGAGCCTAATTTCACGGAGAGTACGACGAGCATCAGTCGCATTTTCAAATGCATTGCTGATTTTCTTGATGGCCACTTTTTCCCCTGAATCCGCGTTTCTCGCTGAGCACACGACGCCATAAGCTCCCTTTCCAATGGGCTTGATCGGAGTGTACTTGGCGTCTATCTCAAACAGCGTTCGCCACAGCATGAACTGGTGCTTCCCCGGTGGACACGTCCCCACCGGGGGTTCCACCTTTGTGGCCATCTTACTGCTACTGCTTTGGCTCGCCAGTTTGTCTAGCTTTACCAGTCCCCACTAAAAGGTGAAGTAATCTTTGCTTCAACGAGACCGGAAGAGGAAGAAAAATGACAGCTTGCCGGCGATTCCCGACACGTCAACAACCACAGCCGGACAACAAGCAGCTCCCAGCTAGACACATTCAATCTAGCTGAGCTTCCAGAAATGCGGATAGAGCATCAAATGGAGGACTTGGTGAGGTTGGCCGGGTGGGTGGAGGAGGGTGGGGGGGGGGGGGGGGTAGGCGCAAGTTTGGAATGACCAGGTTTATGAGGATAAGGGGAAGGCGGGCATGGCGCATAAGGTATGCGGAACCTTGCGGGCAAAATGTCTGTGCAAGAAGCCGCCCATCCGAGCGACAGCTGGCGCACAATGCGTAAAGCGCTCACCTCTCAACTCAACCAACTGTTTGCGCAGGGGTGCAAATAGGGGTGAGGACTGGGGGGGAATATCCGCCTACGTGCGCGGGGTGTTGATTGTGATGTGACGGGTGGAGGGTGGGGGAGGATGGGGGCAACAAGGAACCTCACGCTTCTTCCCCCACAAACTCAACGAACCCAACCACTTCGTTTGCCCAGCAACCCCATCCACAAACCACACCAATATTCGTGCGACGACTGAAACACGATCTTCGCCGTTCGGTGAACACGTGACCGAATCGACGGCTACCTCTCCCTGCCCGAGACAGGGCGATGAGGTTTGGTCTTTCGTAGACTTAGTAGAAAGACGACACAGGGAAACCACACTAGTGACTTAGGAATTGAAAGGTTAGCTGACTGTAACTCTCTGTTCCAATTTCTATTCACAACACAACAAGCCCCACCAGAACCCCCTGACCACAATTACTACATAATTAGTTATAGTTTGTCCAACTTATCAGGCTTCATTATTGAGAACAAACAGAGCATTGTCAAATTGCTGGATCGAACAGAATATGTGGGGAGTAAAAAAAAAAAAAAAAAAAACACATGTTTTACGCCAATTGCTCGGCACCATCAGCAATAAGCTGCCTAATCTCGTCATCAGCTGCCCTGTCAAGTGCAGTCCTGCCGTCCATATCCTTCACGTTGCCGTTTGCACCAGCACGAAGCAACTCTTGGATCTTTGGCCTATCACCCTCAGAAGCAGCCATCATGAGTAGAAGGTCCACAGGGTGAATGCCGGTGTTGAGGAGCTTCTCCATCTTATCATACGTGCCCTCCACAGCGAGCATACCCATGTAGTTGTAGTACTGCCATGGAAACACAAATGCAAGAGGACACGAATGACAAAAATGAAACAGATGACATGAGCACGGGATTTGACGATGCCTGACAGACTTCTGACACGTGAATTCGTCTTGTCAATCAGCAACTCTTACGCTTCGCTCTTACGATTCGGTGCTTCTACCTGAGTTGAATTTCACCTTCCCTCACTCACAACACCGTTAGGTCCATGAACCACTTCGGCCACGCTAACCAATCATCTCCACTATTTTACTTGGCTTTCCATCCCCAGCCTCTAGCTCAGACGTTTCCTCCCTTATCGTGTTCACTCTTCGGAGGTCCTATTGTTCCCATAGAATGCTTTCGTTCACTCCCGTTGATTGCCTTGTCGTCATCATTTTTTAGCCTGGAAGGACCGACGGCTGGCCAAACTGAAGCAACACTTCTTCATTCCACTTCGGAATCATGAACCTTACCTGTTTTGAAAAAAAATGGCCGCAAAGGGCTCGCTTACGTGTTCAACGTCGTCTCTGTCGAAGTCGTCCCGACCTTGACTGCCGTAGATGCCCGACGACTCCGCATCGAGACCGTTCTTTCCGAATTTGAACCACGCCGAGACTCTCGATCCAGCGGCAACGTTAGCGCCCAGGCGCTGCTTCAGTGCGGCAGAACGCACTGCAGGATTAGGGAGAAAAGAAAGGAGACAAGATCAAATATTGACATTTTTTAACCAATGTGATCATAAAACGACCATTACCATCCCCTCCCGCTTCCCAATTTCCCTGCACGCGGAGCTACACTAGTTGAAGGTAAGCAATAGGGGAGTGCAAGGAGCTGAAAAACTGCGTACCAAAAGACGATTGCCTGAAAGACTGGACACGTGCGTTCGTGGAAGCTAGTCTCAGCGAGCTGAGGGTCGCAGAGACGTGGGAGATGGCAGTGGTGGACGACATCCTGAAGCTTTTGCAAAATTCAACAGCGACGAAGTTTCAAGTTTGAAGTAGTCCGCTGAGGTAAGGATGTCAGCGCTGATGTTGCCTGGTGCTGAAGGGTAATGTCCAGCAACTAGTGAATCGTGATCAAGGTGCTTGACGGGAGTTTTGTGGCGCAGGAGAAGCTGGCTGTGCCTGGCGGTGTACTGTACACACAGTTCTGGCAGCTACGCCTCTTGCTCCCCCCTCCAGTGTCATGTGCGCATCGCGTTGCGCCATCACCAGCAAAGCGACCCACAAGCCTGGCGCGGTCTGTGGAAACTCGGGCGGAACGGAACCAGAGAAGCGTCACCCGCAGGGGGTGCGCGCAAATCCTTCGCCGCTTTTTCTTGCCTTGGGATGGGAGTGGCGCGGGATTGTGTTCCGCAACGAAGCAAAAGGTAATGGCAGCCACGAACCAGCCCGAGCCACGTGGTACAGAATCCACGTCGGAACTCCTAAGGTTTCATGAATGTTATGGATCAGTCGGTGCTTCATTACAAGACGAAGGACTTCACGCATTGTATATCTTCCGTGCATAGTTAATGATATGCTTTCATGATACAATTTCAGCTATTTGATGGCTGTTGCTGATTGGAATTTGATGCTATTTCGGGCTTGCCGTTTCGAGGGGGGCATGTCGGGAGGATGATCAGTCATTTTCCTCTTATCTCATGGGATCCTTGAAGGCTATGATTGGGGTGGCCTTGCAGCGTGCGCAGGCTCGGGTCATCCTGCTTCGCGCTGCATCGTCTATGGGAGGAGCAGATATCGATTTGGTGGACAGCGAGGGGGAGGACATTGAGGAGATGGGGGGAGCACTGTGGGTGGAGGCTCAGTACTTGGTGTCCGCCCCGGTTTGAGGGGCGTTGGGGGGGGGGGGGGGGGAGTCGGGGGGAGTCGGGGGGGGGGTTTAGTTAGGGTGCTTCGATGGGGTGTCTTGATGGGGTTCCCTCTTGGTTGTGCTTGTGGGGCTTATCCATTTCCATTTCCTTTTCCCTTCCCTTTCATCTCTCTCTCTCCTTTTCTCTCTATCCTCTTTCCATCTCCAACCAACTTCCAGGGTGTTGAAGCTTTTATCATGCATCATCTGCTTCTGTACTTCGACACTGCTGCATGTAACATGTTGGTATGAAGATAAAACTAAAAAAAAAAAAAAAAAAAAAAAAAAAAAAAAAAACATAGTTCTGACAATTGAGAAAGCTTGCTTTCTTATTTTTATCAATTGGCATCGTTCTCATTACAACTGGGCATCGTTCTCATTACAACTGGCTTATTACAACATTTGCATCGAGATTGAACACAAGCTAGTGCATGCTAATATCCCTAGCTAAGATGTACCCTATCCAAGTGGCATTAGCAAGGCGTTCTACGCTGGGGTGGGTGGTGGGGATGTTGAGTGAGCCGTTTGAAATAGAGAAACGTGGGTGGAGGGAAATGAGCTCCAACCCACGGTTTTTGTAGTTGGAGAAGGGCGTTTAGCGCGCTTCGACGATGCCAATTGTGCAGTACAAGCAGCTTCGCTTTCACAATACACAATTTAAAAAAACACAATGTGTGTTTAAAAATTATAATATTGAGAAAGTTTGCTTTCTTATTTTTATCAATTGGCATCGTTCTCATTACAACTGGGGTCTCTGAGACATGGGCAGCGGGGGCCTCCTATGGCGTACGAGCGCCTCTGTGTGTTGCGCCGAAGACACCGCCTGCGTCGGATCTTGCAGGTTGCGGGATGCTGTGATGAGAGGCTCGACGTATGGCGTGACGTACATTTCCTTAGCTGTGTCGCTTCGCCATCTGCCCAGCCGTTTGAAGACTCTGTCTGGCACTCCAGTGTTGGCTGCTACTGTGGCCGCGCCTTTTCGGAAAGAGTGAGTGCCGAGCTGCAGCTCTCCCAGACCAACTTTTGCGAAAGCTTCCTTACACCAGTTCCGAATTGTAGTGTATGAAGGCGGCTTCGCTTGGCCTTTGCTGCTTGAAGCGTGCCCGAAGACACGAATCAACGGTCCCTCTGACTGAGGACCATAGCCGGCGAGTTGGATAAAGCGTCGGGTGCAGCGCACTGGGCAACAAGGGTCTGTCGTTGCTGCAATGGGTATCCATGTTCCGTGACCGGCCTGATCGGTCTTAGAGTGTGGTATGAGGATCCACATGACCTCTTCGTCGAATTGGATGCCTTGCCATTGTATGGCCACTAGGTCGGAGTATCGCAGAAATCCTGAGTACATGAGGATGGGGATCAGCCCTTTCTGAAATTCCGCAGGGTCGTCAGACTGCAGGTAACTCCCGGCCATGTCGCGGACTTGTTGGATCGATACGGGTTCCTTCAGACGAGTAGGGCGGGGGCAGTGTCGTTTTGCACAGTCGCGGACTTGGGTGGTAAACGGACCGATTGTTGGGCATTTGCTCCCAGTCATGCGATGGGCGAAGCTTACTGCCGAGCACGTCAGCTGCACTACGGACAGGGTGGCTTTGCGTCGGATTGCGTGAACCAGGTATA